GCAGTGACTGGGAAGGGGCTGGTCTCCATGCAAGGCCTCTCCTCATCCAAGGGGCAAAAGCTGTCCAAAAGCAATGGGAGCCTGCACACGCTGCTGTCGCAGAGCACCACGGCGGCCCCACAGCATGGCCCGCTCCGCACCCACCTGCTCCACGCCATCAGCCTGGATGAAGCCTCTGACTCCAGCCATAACTCCATCCAGAGCTTCCCCTCCTATGGCTCCCGCCTCAAGCCTGCCCAGAGCCAGTTCAGTGCCTCCATGGGCCACATCAACCACATTGGAGGTTCTCTGGACAGGGTGTCCCGGAGCCCCAGGGACCCCCTGGCTCCTGAAAAGGCACCCTTGTCCTGCAAGAGCATGGCCACGCTGAGCCGGCTGCAGAGCCCTGGGGAGCCCCCACCGCCCTATGAGTTCACCTACTCCCTGGAGGATGCGGTGAAGCAGCTGGAAGATCGGCTGAAGGAGACTGGGGGAGAGCTGCGGCAGCTCAAGAGGAGCCTCAGTGAGACCGAGGACCCCTTTGCGCAGGTGAGAAGTGGGGCTGGCGGCTGTGGGGAGGTGGTGTCTGGGTGGAAGGAGCTGTGAAGGGCCTGGTGCCCTGCCATGATGGCTGGTGGGTGCCCAAACATGGGAGAACTCACTGTCACGGCCTGTGGGGCAGCAGCATCTGCAAAATCAGGCTGGGAACCTCCTACTGAAGCTCTGTTCCTTGGGTCTAGCTGGGGATGTCCTGGCAGCAGGATCTCCTGGGATCCTTCCAGGCACTGTCCCACACAGGGGCAGGATGTGGACCCTCACCAGTGTCTGTCTGTGCCGGCAGGCATTTGAGGACAAGCAGCGGCTTTGGCTGGACGAGCTGGAGGACCTGAAGCAGATGTACATGGCCAGGCTGCAGCAGGTCACACAGCAGGCACAGCGCGGCCAGCGGGCGCTGCAGCTGCAGCTCTACAAGGCACAGCAAGAGAAGAAGCGGCTGCAGGAGGAGCTGAGCATGCAGCAGTGCCAGTGCGAGGAGACCAAGCTCCGGCAGTCCCAGGGTGAGCGTGTCAGCCCCAAACTGGAGGAGACCAAGTGGGAGGTGAGTCCCCTGCTGTCCCTCTCTGTTGCCACCCTTCAGGCTGTGCAGCCAGGATGGGGCAGTGGTTCTCTGCTCTGTCACTTGTGGACTTGTGGATGGGGGTGAAGAGCCAGGCATGATTCTCATGCTCTCCCAGTGACGCTGTGTTGACAGTCGGGGGTGCTGCCACCCCTGAGATCCCACTGCTTCCTCACTGTTCACTGTGTCTTGCAGGTGTGTCAGAAGGCAGCAGAAATCTCCCTGCTGAAGCAGCAGCTCCGAGATACCCAGGAGGAGATGGCTCAGAAGCTGGGTGAGATCTTCAGCCTGAAGACGCAGCTGCGGGAGGCCAAGGCGGAGGTCCAGGCCAGGGACTCCCAGCTGGCACAACTGGCTGATTCCCTCCAGAGCCCCCCGGAGCCTGGCACCTCGCTGCCGCTGGGCGATGACCCCATGCCAGCATGCCAGGACTTCCCTGGCTGTGAAACGGATGACTCCAAGTGCCGGGGCCTCCACAGCGACTCAGCGGAGCCCCTGGAGCGGCAGGTGGAGTGGCTGTGGGCAGAGTTGCTACGGGAGCGGCGCCAGGGCCAGCTGCAGGCTGTGAACTTTGAGCTGGAGAGGAAAACCTGGCAGGAGGAGAAGGAGAAGGTGCTGCGGTACCAGCGGGAGCTCCAGGCCAGCTACATGGAGATGTACCACCGGAGCCAGGTGTTGGAGCGCGAGCTGCGGCAGCTGCGCTCCGAGCCCAGGGATGTCGGGGCCGACTCGCCATGGATTGAGCGGGTGGAGTCCTCGAAGATCTGAGCAGCACGATGCCTGTGGGACCACGAGGGGGGGTCTCTTGCTGCTGCAGTGGATGATCTCAGGGGCTGCACAAGGACTCGCCACTCATTGCCGCCCTGGGAAGAAGGACTGATCACGACAAGGGAACTTTTCCTTCTTGCAGTGCTTCGGGCCCATCAGGGGTGGTCGCTGGAGGGGGGATCATCTGTACCAGGGGTCTTGCATGTGCCCCGTGCTCTGACTCCAGGATCATTTGCCCTGCACTCCCTTCTACCATTGGGGGCATAAGACCGAATGCCCTGTGAGCCATTCCCCATCCTTCCCGCTCCGTTCCCCTTTTCCCTTCAACCTGTAACTTAATATCATGCTAGAGAGAGGCTCGAGCCCTGTCCCCATCCCCACGGCCCTTTTGTGGGTTCCAGCAGAGCCCTGGGAGCAATCAGTGCCCTGGGTCTGGCCGAGGTGGTGGTGCTGCTGCTGCTGGGAAGGCCCTGGAGGAGCTGCGTGCAGGGAGAGGGGGAGGTGCCCCAGCGCTGCAGCTGAGCCCTTTCCGTGCCGTGGTGCTGGTGGGATAAGGGGTGGTTAACGCAGCTCCCCAGCACGGAGTCCTGGGGCTGAGAGGAGGCAGCGCCACGGGAGAGGTGGGAGCAAGGATGGGGCCTCCCCGTATCTCCTCCGAGGGCACGGGGAGAGGCGTGGAAGAAGCCCTGGGCCGCGCTTGTAACGTCCTCGGCCTTTCCTGCAATAAACCTAGATTTCGTTCCTCCGAATTCTGCTTCCTTTGAAAGCCGCGGCTCTGCAGCCCGGGCTTCGGGCCCCGCTCCCGGTGGTCGCCCCCGCTCCGCAGCTCCCGCCCGGCTCAGCCGGCGCGGCAAGGAGGGAGGCGGCGCGGAGCGAGCGGCACAACCGGTTCGGGCATCTCACCGCATTGACTCACGGCGGCTCCGGGGCCCGAGGGACAGGCCGAGCCCCGCGGGGCGGCTCCGGGGCCCCGCCGTCGGGACGGGCATCGTCTCCCGCCCCCAGCAGCGGCCAGAGCCGCGCGCGCGCGACGCCGCGGGGAACAACAGCCGCCCCCAACTTCCGCCGTGCAGCAGCCGGCCCCGCCCCCCCGCCCCGCTCCCCTTCCGCGCGGCGGACCCCCACCCCGCACCCCAAAGGGCACCGGGCGCGGCCTTACAAACATCCCAACAGCTTTATTCACCATCAGCGCCCCCCACCCCAACGGCGCCCCCCCCCCCCCGTAGAGACGGTGCCCCCGGAGGTCACAAGGGCAGCGGCAGGGATTCCACCTCCCCCAGGCACTCATCGTAGGCCTCCTGGTACTCCTCGTGTGGCTTCAGCAGGATGACGCAGGTGGGTCGCTTTGAGCCGGCCGCGGCCCCGAGGTCCTGCAGGAGAGCAGAAGGCCGGGGGTAGAGGGCAGCCCGCACAGACAGAGCCTGACACCCTGCACGGACACGGGAAGGTGGCCCTGCAAGCTCCTGAGAGCAGGCAACTCAGAGCAGTTGCATTGGGAAGGACCTTAAAGCTGACCCAGTCCCAACCCCTGCCCTGTGCTGGCAGCCCCCCACCAACTCAGGCTACGCAGGGCCCCATCCCAAGTGGTTCTGAGCACCTCCAGGGATGGAGCACCCACAGCTCTGGGCAGCAGTGCCGGTGCCACGCCAACCTCTGGGTAATGAATTTCTTCCTAACATCTCCCCCAAACCTTCCCTCCTCAGTAGAAAGCCATTACCCCTTGTGCAATCATGTTAAAAGTTGGTCCCCCTCCTGCTTATAAACTCCTTTCAAGTACTGCAACAAGGCCACCCCAGAGCTTTCTCTAAGTGAAATAAGCCCAGCTCCCTCAACCTTTTTTCGTAGGAGAGGTGCTTCAGCCCTCTGAGCATCTTTGTGGCCCCCCTCCGGAAAAGCTCCAACAGCTCAGAACCCTTCTTGTGCTGAGAGCCCCAGGCCTGGATGCAGCATGTGATGCCTCATGCGGGCAGAGCGGAGGGGGACAATCACCTCCCTTGCCCTGATACCACCCTTCTGCTGATGCAGCCCAAGAAGATTTCCTAGTTTTGCCCAGCAGGGCTGACACGTGCCATAAGTGCCTGACATCGGCCTCTTGTGTCCCACTCCTCACCCGGAGCAGAGAAGGCAGTGACCACCTCTAACCCTCGGTCTGAGCAGGGAGGGACATCTCCCAAAACCACACCTTGGTCAGTGCTTCCTTTCTGTATGCATCCAGGTCCCAGTTCAGAACTAAAGGAGAAAAAAGACATCTGTCCTAGCTCTGCCCCACATAGCTCCACTGGGGCAAACAGTTCTGGGGTCCTGTCACAAAACAGCTCTACACCTGGGCTGTGGCTGTTTGCTCCCCTCATGCTCTGGCGCTGCTCAAGCACAGGGTGCTTTGCTGGGCACCCCACGTATGCCTCCTTCCTCAGCACAGCCCTGGCACAGAGCAGCCCAGCTGCAGCCAACCAGCACGGGCTCCTCCTTACCGACTTGGAGGGGACGTAAGCGTAGGGCAGATTCCTGTCTTCGCACATGATGGGGATATGGCAGTACACGTCGATGGGCAGCGTGTCGCCGGCCAGCACCGTGATCCTGCAGGAAAAACCCGTGTCAGCGGCCGCCCCGCGCCGTGCCGTAGGGTGAGGGCGTGGCTTACCCCTTTTCGCCTTTGTTGATGAACTTCTGCACCTCCTTCACGCCCCGGCGGATCTGCTTGTGCTTGGCCGCTGCGAGAGAGGAACCGCGTGAGGAGCTGCGCGGCCCCGGCCAGCCCCCCGCCCCGTTCCCGGCACCCACCACACCTTTCCTGATACACTTGTAGAGCTTGCGCGTCAGCTTGCGAGAGGCGAGCGGCTGCGCGATGGGGTTCAGGTGCTCGAGCTGCTCCCGGTACGAGAACTCGGGAGCGGCCTCCGCCGCCGGCTCCTCCTGCTTCTCTCGCGCCATGCTCGCGCGCTGCCGGCGGCCGCTTTTACTTCCGGGGCACGCAAGGCCCAGCAGCTCGATTCACGACCGCCGCGTGAGCGCCAGCCAATGAGCGCCGTTCCCCGTGGCGCCTTAACCAATGACGAGCGGCGCCCGGCCCCGCGCCCCGCCTCTCGGCCCGCCCCGACGCCGAGCGCGGCCCGCTGCCCGGCCCCGCGGCGCCCCGCTACCTGCGGTGCTCCGAGCGGAGCAGGGCCTCGCCCAGCATCTGCATCTGCTCCAGCACCTCGCGGCGCATCTCCAGCGCCATGCGGTGCACGTGGTGGTTGGCGGCGTTATACATGATGGCGTTCTGGAACATGAGCATCAGGCTGCACTGGAATTGTGCCAAGGAACGGATGTGGCCCTTGGCCAGACCCCTCTTGATGCTGGTCAGGTCCATGGGCCTGCAGGAAGGACATGGAAGGAGAGCTGAAGGGCCTCTGCGTCGTGGCCCTAAGGCACAGCTCTCTGCAATCAGTTTTAGCGCCTGGGGCTACGTGGGGCAGTGAGAAGCATTTGTTTCATTTCAGTTAGACAAAGTTCAGCCAGCGTGGTCCTTGTCATCGGGCAGCCTGGCAGGCCATCGGCTGCCACGTCTAACAAATGTCATGAGGAGCTGCAGGGAATTCAAGAGCGATCCCATTAGTCCTCATGAAGTCAGCCCAGGTCTTGGAGGAGAAAGAAAAGTTGCTAAAATAGGGATCTATTAAAACCCCTTAAAATCAAATGGTGCCACTAGCCAAAATAGCACTGCTGATAGGGGAACGTGACGGGGAATAAATATGACTTCCCTTATTTTGACACAATGAGAAAATGAACGGCTGCAGAGAGGATGACTGTGACCAGAATAGAACATGATTCAGCTCTGAAAAATGCCCTTAATCTATCTGGGAGATATTCTTATAACCTACTTCTCCACTGAGACTACATCTGGGGAGAAAGCAGAGTGGATACTGACAGAGACACAGGTTTCCAACATGGAAACTGCTGGGCTACAGAGGCTGAATGCCCAGCTCAGGCAGGGGGCACAGCTGCAGAGCTGAACTGCAGTACATCAGTCCATGCAAGGCCAGCAAAGGGCAGGCACAATGCATGTCAGCACCATGGTCACTGCAGACTTCCAGGTCCTGGTCACCTGGAAGGGAGTTTTGATAACAGAAGTCAGTCAGTGGGAGATGCTGATGGCAGCCAGACTCTGTGGGACAGAAGGAAGGAAACAGTCCCATTAGTGTTTTGGAACCAGAGATGACCCGAACCAGTTGTTGGGTGCCAGAGGAAGGCAGAGAAAACAGAGAAATCAGGTAGTGAATAGTTCTTGCACAAACTTACCTCTTCACCACCTCACTGTATCCAGGAGCTTGTTTGTCTGACACTGCCTTCAGGAACGGGCCACTGCATCTACAAGGACAAGCACAAAGAATGACCTCTGCCTGCCCCTGAGCAGGGGCCAAAGACAACGTGGCAGCAGGACCAATGCTTCTCTCCTACTGATGGCCATGAGGGCCACAGCCCATCAGCAGCTTTGGCTGTTCAGCAGCTGGCACAGCCAGGCATAGGAGGAGGCTGAGCCCCTTGCTGAAGCTGTCTTTGCCAGCTGTGTAGGAAGCAACACTTGGACTCTGGCATGTTACACAGAGGAAATAAGTATGCAGTGTTCTCTCAATCTTTGCAGCACACAGCTGTTCTTGTTGCAAGAACAGCCAGAAGCAAAGCCATGTAGAGACACACCATCCTGTGGTGTCTGTTGTGGAAGGGAGGACAAGGTGACATAGGAACTGGCACATAATATAATGTCAATTTGACCCTTTGCCCCTACATACCTATGACTGGCTATCATCTTCCAGATGGACAGGACAGTTCTTTTGAAATGAGAATGCTGCATGGGGTTATCCCAGCTCAACTGCATCCTGTGGAGGGTATATAATGCCAGGTTGTTACACTTGAGACAAAGCATGAATTGGTGCACTCACCACATCCAGATGGATAAAGCCCAGAGATCTTTTTTTTTTAGCTACACAAAGCAATGGTGGAAGTGTTCTGCATCTGAACACACAACTAAGCATCCAGAATGCAGGAAGATGCAGGGTGGCACGCTGGAACTAAGATAGAGCTGAGCAGCTCTAAGGGACAAGCTGGACAGAAAAGCTCACACTACTCTGAAGCTCATTTTTAAACTCAGATTCCTATCCCATGAAATTATGGTATTCCTTCTAAAGACAGCCCAGGTAATCATACAAGTGGTAAAGCCCATGTGTGACTGACAAGCCTGTGCTTGCTTAAAGGTAATGTCTCTCTTAAGAGCTGGACTGGACATTACCTAATAAAGCACAACGCCAAGCTTAAACAAAGCCTAGCTGCCTTGAAGAAACATGTATTTTCCAGTTAACCTTATTTATCCACTACTCTTATTACTTACTTTTGGGGTAAGTGCTAAAAAATACTGGCAGACCCATAGAGACAGTACAAGTTAGCTCCTTCCCTCCTGCTCTCCGTGGGTATCTCACCTTCCTGGAGGTGACCTGTGCCATATACATCTTTTGATGTGAATCAAAGGAAACAATTGCTCTGGTACACCTGCAGGAGTGCAGACAGACTTACAGCTGCGGGTTGGCAGGGCTTGTGGAGCCCAACATGGGGTCTGCAGAAGTGCAGTCACTATCATCTTGATCCTGGGCTTGGTTAATCTCCTGTGAATCTGGTTCACACAGAGTTTTTTCTTCAGGTGCCTCTTGAGTCTTGTCCTGCAGAGCACAGAGGAAAATGGAGATCTGGTTAAAATGGCAGCTCACCACTTGAATCCCTTAAGCAGAAACCAGCCTGCTGCATATGCTCCTACTGCATCCAATCTCAGACGGGAGCTACGTCTCTCTGTATTATTCTAGAAGATGATGTTTGACCTTATTCAGACCTTCAGTGTGCTGGCCAAGACTCCAGTAACAGCTGGGTTTGATCTCTTGGATCACAACCACCTCCAGCTAACACAAACACTGTGGGGATGACTGGTGCCCAGAGGTGTGTCTGTCTTCTTTTCTGGGAAGAGTTGTGGATATACAGAGGGCAATCAGGAGCTGAGGTAAGACTGCCTCAGGCTTGTTAAACCTCAAGACACAGAAAACAGGATCCCCAAGAGTACAACAGGGTTGTTTCCTCAAAAACTCCCACATGAAAATGACAGAGAATAGACTCAGCCAGGAAGGAGAATTGTGCTGTTGGCACAGTGATTTTCCAATAAAATGGAAAAGGAGATGCAGGGAAAGACACTTCTGGAGTCCAGAAGTGGGACTCTTGAGAATTGCCTAACATGAGATCTGAAGCATAGACCAGACACCTCAGAAAGAACATAGGCACTGCTATGTATGGCTTTGACTGCTGGGCAGACCACAAGGGAACTGCTCAGAATAACCCTGTTCAGGCTTAACAGGTGAAATGTGAAACCCTTAGAATCACAGAACCACCAAGGTTGGAAAACACCTCCCACATCATCTAATCCAACCATCCACCTATCACCAATACTTCCCCATTAAACGAAGTCCCTTGCTACAGAATCACAGAACAACCCTGGAAATCATTTCTGCCTCCAGTGTCTAAGTTTGCAAGGCAACAAACCGAGTACTGGATTGAAAAACCAGGCACTGTTCTTCCACTGCTGTGATATTATAGCTTGTTCCAGCAACACCTCGCAGACTGGTGAGAGCTGAGTGTCCCCCAGACACAGGATTAGTGCAAACACAGGCTAGACAGTGCCTGCTTCCAAGACATGACGGTCTCCTGGGGCAGATGGTTGTTGGTATTGCTTGTACATCCACGTGGGCCTGAAACCAGCCAAGCTGTGTGCTGCATAACACAGTAATTAGAACAAACCAAGTATTCCAGTCTTGCATTAAACCTGAGAGCAGACTGCCAGCTCTCATGAGTCACCTTTGTATTGCCAAGGAGCAATTCCTCCAACTCACATCTGAGGGTTTGATCTGTAACAAGCTTCCTGTTCATAAAGATGCACATCCATACACAAAAACCATCCTTCCCCTCATACATTTCCTTTGCATTCACCTCCCTGCTGTCTCCTCTTCTGCGTTGCTCTCTCCCCAGCTGGAACATGGGACTTCCCCATCTCTGCTAGAGATGATTTCCTTCACCACCTCACCTCTCTTAGGACCACCTCTCTCCTACCTCTCTTCCTGGGAAGTGTTCTTTTTCATCTTCTGCCAGGACACGTGGCTGACTTTCCTCTGCTCTTGAGACAACTGTCCTGGTGGTCTCTTCCTGGCATCTTAGATCTTCCCCATCATCCTGCTTCCCAGAGCCAGAACAATCCCATAGAGTCTCTGCTGAATCTGTGCAGCTGACGCGGAGAGGTTCCAGCAACTGGGTTATCTGTAATGCAGAGATTTATTGCTTCAAATTGTGAAGGCAAAGGGAAGAAAAAATAAGCAGCACAAATGCTATTTTTGCTTTCACTCACTCACTTCTTTCCATTTTTAGGAATCCTCGCAAAATCTTCTGATGAAGCCCTGTATTGTTATTTCAGTTTCAGCTCAGTGACATCTCTGTGCTTTAGGGTGAGCTGTGTTTTGGCAAAGCAGCTGCTTGGCTGCTGTGCCAGTTTTAAACGAGAGCAAGGACTGGGCTTGGAATAGGGAGCAAATTAACTCTGGGCACCTGCGTTTCCCCCAGAATATTTCTGTTGTCAGAATGGTGGAGAGACTGAAAACTCTATTATTTCAAGGCCAGAACTATGCAGCCCACTTTGCTGTCATCCAAACAGCCGTACCTCTGAGAAGAACTCGAGAAGACTGTCATCTTCATATTGCCTCTCTGCCTTTTGGAAGTCTTCACTATCATCCTCCCAGAGAGGATCACTGAACTCCAGCCTGCTGTCTGTCTCTTGGCTGCTTTCCTCTGGCTTCCCTATAGCCACCTCTTCGGTATCCCTCCAGTTTCCCACTTCCACATCCAAACTTGAATGCCAGCTGAGAAGAGACTGCAAGTCACTGTCCTCTGACTCCGACTCAGAACTGCACCACACCCAGGGATGGCCCATCTGCAAACAAACACAAAGAGAGAAACAGCAATTTCTTTGTACCCCGATCCAGAACTACAAAGCCCAGTTCATTTCCTGACTTACTCAGAGAGCCAAAACATAGCAAGAACTTCACGAGGCAAGCAGCCTTCTCCTAAGCCCACACTTAACAGCACACGGCGGGGCTGTAGCCCTGCAACACAAACTGACATTGCAGAGCAAGCGAATTATGATTTTCCAGTGCTTTTGCTGTGCTCCCCCCTGGCTGGTGCTCAGGGGATGCTAAGCTACTTTGGAGTATTTGGCTTTGTCTGATGCTACACGTTTAGGCACCGATGACAGGCAGCAGCAAGTTCAAAACCAAGTCATTGCTGCTGACAGCTGTGAGCCAGCGGTGACTCCAAGGCTCAGCCACTCACTGGAAGTTCCCTCGCTGTACCGTAAGAACTTTTTACGTTGGAAACAACTTATTGCAAACACTACAGAACCTTTGTGTTGAAAACGACGGATGTGATTTAACAGCCCTGGTGTACCTGAGCCAGAACTGGAACCAAACACACTCATCCACTGACGGATCAGTTCTGCATGTTTCATAAAGTTAGCATTCTTGTAAGATGGAAGAAACCATTCCTTTCATCTCCACTCATTAATCCATGCCTAAGCCTCTTGCAGAGTATGAGTCCAACATGATTTCTCTGCAGTCTCTTCTCTGCAGGGGAACCTGCAGAATCACCCTAACAACAGTAAATGGCTCTTAGAGAAATCTGTATCTTGCCAGTGAACTCAGCTACCTGGATGAGAAAGCCACAGAGAATTCTACACATTCATTAGCAACCTCTTCAGAGTTTTCAGTTAATTATGTACAACCTAATCTTTCCAGGGTCTTGAACAAGCACATTTCTCACTGACTTCCTTTTGCATTCTCAAGACTGCTACCACAGCAGCAAATGCAGCCTACGGTGCATAACTGGGAGAAATAAAGAATCCAGTGGGTTTGGGATGAGCATATTTGTTTTTCTTTTATGCACTTACAGTGAGAGCTGGGATCTCACTGGCCTCCCTTCCGAAACCTATTTCAAAGTTGACTTCAGCAGGAGCAGATAACATTTGATGAGGCAGGAGATAACATTACCTGCTCTCAGCTTCCAGCTAAAGGAGTCGGGCAAACTGTGATTTCATCTGACGACTACCAGTGCCCAAAGCACTGCACCATGGGCAGAGCAGGCTGCACACGCATAACCAGTCACCACAGCTCTGCCAAGGAACAGAAAAGCCTCAGGCTAGGGTAATCCAATCGCTTGTGATCATCTTTCTGTACTCCAGTCCAGAGGGATAACCATCTAAAACCAGGAAGCCTGGGTAACTTGGGCATAAGCACTGATTAAAAACATCTTCGGCCTTATGTTCAGCTCCACTAAATCTTGGAAGACTCAAGATGCCGGAGAGCAGAACAGCAGCATTGGTGCGAGACAAGGGGGATGAGGGAAGTAATTACAGCCTGCTTAGTCCCACACCAGTTTGGTACAAAAATAAGGGATGAAAGATAGGGAATTCAACCTCTAATTAAGGACTGCCTTGCGGACTTTACGTAAGTTGCCAACAGGGAATCGTTATCAAACGGGAAAGTTTTAGTTCACTTTGCAGAGATCAGACACTGCGCAACGCCTGCTGATGTAAGGAAAAGCTGTTAGTTTTAAAGAAGATGGACTTTGAAAGGGATTTACATGTCAAAACAAGGAAAATGATAAAAGCCTGCTCTCCAGCAAATGAAAAAAGAAAGAAAAAAAAAGACAACAATTTGCTGAAGACATAAAAGCAAACAACAACAACAAACATCAGAGGCAGAAAGCTGCCAGATGATCAGTGGGGGTGATGCACCATCAGTGCCAAACACCTCAGTGGGAAAACAAGGTCAGGTGGAAAACCTGCATTAAACGTAATTATGAGCAGTTGCCACAGAGGAGATCACAGAAGTCGCAGAGAGACTTTCTCTTGAGATAGAGACTATTTCTAATTAAAATGTCAACAGGGGAGGTTTTAGAACAGTTGGAGGGAGGGAGTAAGCCACAGAATGACTTGGACTTGTGAGTCCCTAAGAAGCTTAAATATAATGTGACCAAACCTATACATTGTAGCTTGCAGTTTGAATTAGCCATAGCACTAGAGAAACAAAAGAGCAGTTGTTATTTCTGTCTGTAGGAAGGCGGATTAGGGAGATGCAGCATAGGCTTTCTGTTTAGATTAGTACAAAACATTGCAAAGTATGAAATGAGGAGTCAGAGCATGAGAAGGTGAATTGGGAAAGAGGCAGCAGGGCTATAGAGGGGAAAGCTGCATTTTAGACTTTTGAAGTTATTGAATAACATCATTACAGGCTATTAGAATGTCACAGATTCTCTGAGTAGGAAAAATCCTCTAATGGTTAAAGGAAGAAACCAAGGGTAAGAATGAAGAGCAACTTTCCACAATGAAAGCAAGTTACCAGTGGGCATGACAGCAGTCCTCCCACGTGCTGGAATTTCCATTGCCCAACACAAACAAACAGAGGCAGAGGTGCTACAGAGGAGACAGAACCAGACTCTTCTCAGCGGCCAGCGTCGAAAAGAGAGGAGGCAGTGATGACAAGCTGCATCAGGGAAATTCAGCCTATGTTTACTCCATGGGGGTGGGTAAGCACTGAAACAAGCTGTCCAAAAAGATGATGAAATCTGCATCCTTGCAGATTTTCAGAACTTGACAAGGCTCCGAGCAATCTGCTCTAGCTTTCAAGCAGGCCCTGCTCTGAGCAGCAGGTTGGACTAGATGATCCTCAGAAATCTTTTCCAGCTTACATTATTCCACAAAATACCAAAAAGTAAAAGAACCCTCTGACTTTCCGTGCCATGAGAATCTCTAGAGATCGAGGCCATAAAAATTCGAATGAGAAACCTGTTCCCAAGCTCAGCAGTGAGGGACAATGAATCAGTAAGTGAAGGACTGTACGTTTCTAGCACCAAGTACAAAGCGACCCTTGGTGGAAATACACCTTACATTAATCAAGCATGGCACACAACACAGCAGGCACAACAAACTTCAATACAAAACTTGGGAAAGTCAAGACCTCTCATCAGTTAAGGTAACAATCTCTCTACATTAACTGTAATGACTGTTCCCTGCAACTTGTGTGACAGAAAGCTGAGTCCTGCACACATGCAAACACACACACGTACAGACACCTCCTCGCTGCTGCAGACATCAGGACCATGAGATTTTTTTGTTGTCATTCTTTTCTCCTGTAAATGTAAACGGGCAAAAAATTGCACAGAAGTTAGCAGAAAATCAGAAGTCAGGAGTTTAAACTCAGTCATCTACGTTGCTAAGAACTGTAATAACCAGCTGAAAAAAAAAACAGTTAAAAGTTTCTGCTGTGAAACCAGATACAGGCATGCCTACAGCTGTGAGAAACAGATTTTCACCACAACTCATACACTCTTTTCCAATTTCTAGGCAAATAACATGGCATTCAATATACTGGTCTCTTAAGGAAAGCTCCAGTGAGATTGCAGCATTTCCACTTTCCATGGTCAGATGTCCCATGTCATAACAAGGGCAGCAAACCTTCCCCTCCATCCAAAGACCATGCAGCATTCTAATTATTAATGTACTGCCTCTAACATCAAAGCACTGCAGAGCTTTTAAAGGGTAACTGGAAGAGAGCTGTATTTGCAGGAATTCGAGGTCTGTACGCACATTCGTACACAAGCAGGGCTCCCCGTCGAAGGGAGCTGTGATGCTCAGAAAACTGAACACTGTATACTGGATATTTTTTTTTTCCCCAGGCTTTAATATACATACACATTTACACATCACTAGTAGAAATCTGTACACTTCACATTACAGTACATACGAGCCACCAGTTGCTAGCTAACACCAGAACACTGATGAAGCCCAAGACGACTGCCCTAGAACAGGCAGGGGGGCCAGTCTTCCCCTCCAAGGAAGTTTCTTTGGGTAACACATTCTGATGAGATGTCGCTTCCCAGACTCAAGCCAAGAAGGTGGAACAGGTCCCAGAAATGGACCTGCAGCTCTTCTGCCTCTAACAGCTTTAACAGCATCTTGCTTGCACTCCAGCTCTGGATGTTAGGTGCTGGGTTTTCCCCTCTTTCTCTGGCGTCATTTCTTCATCTTCATGTCTGCCTCAATGGCACAGCGACGCCCTCTGGTGCCTCCATCCTAAGTCACAAGGCAAACAAAAAGACTGGCATTAGCAGAAACCAGTTATGCAACCTTAGACACAAAACATTTCCTCCAGCGTATGGAGGTAAGAAATTGTGCATCTGGCAACAACTTTTCATGCCTTCCAAACAGGAGAAAAAGGGAAGCTCTGCTAAGAAGGCCTGGGGAGGCCTGCTTGCAGACCTACCTAGAATTCATTCTGGATACAGCACGGGTGCTGGGATTTGCAGCATCTCTGCGCATTAGCAGTGGCCAGGACAGAGATGGGCAAAAAGGTTCTCACCCAGACAGATGTTTTTGGAGCCTGCAGTGTGCAGGCTTTCTCCAAAGTGATAGATTCTAGCTTGGCTCTTAAGATGGAAAGAAAAAATTGCTGACTAACCTACCTTATCAGCTGCTGATCCCTACAGGAAGTGCTCCTCCAGTTGAGTGACCCTGGCACTAGCTCCCTAGCTTCTCCGTACAGCTCCTTTCCATGAGCAGAAGGCGAGCTGAGAGCTTCCTTTGATCCGCTGCCCTCTCCCTCTGGCTGACATGCTGACTCTCCTGGAGTACTCCTCTGTCTTTAGATATATGCGAGAGAAAAAATAAACTCTCCATCTTCCTCCCCTCTCTCCTCCCTGCAACTCAGAGGCTCGGGAACACTTTGCAAACACTTCCAGATTACCATGGGCAAAGAGCAAGGTATTTCTGTGGAGTTTGTTATTTGTTTTCTGGTCCATGAACAACAAAGAGAATGCAGCTGAATCCTCACTTTCCCCAGGCCCTTTGTATAGCCTTGAATGTGAAGAAGAGGCAGCTGTGTAAGCGTGAGAGATGTCAGAACTATAGCAATGCATTATTTGGTGTGTCTTCCCATTTACATGGAAAGAAAGCAGGAGAGCAGTTGTGGAAAACAGCAAGGCAGATGACAAAATAAGAACACTTGGAACCAGAAGAAGGACTGAAGACCCACCCACTCACCCAAACCAAGAGGAAGGATCTGAAACGATTAGTCTCTACAGTTCATGGTTGTACAGACCCAAAGTTAAACACATGTTGTTGTAATGCAGAGGACGCTGTGACAGTGCAGTGATCACCCAGACAAGGAGCAGAGGACAATGACAGCAGTACTGCAGTACCTGCTGGAGCCTTTCAATACTTACAAAGAGAGAGAGAAGGAAGGCAGGAGAGCCCATTGGGACACTGTCCTGTTAAAAGGCCAAACAGAAGGATTTATCAGATATCAGATAGGGAAATGCACACACCACACAGAAGCAATAAGCCCACACGTGAGCATGGAGAAACATGTGCCCCACTCCCCTTCCCGCATGGCTTCAGTCTTACATGGCAGGAACACAAAAATGCACAGAAGAGGAATAAGGCAAGAGCAAGAATGCTAGGAAAGGGATATTTATTCCCTCACCAGTTATGGCAAGGCCTGTACCACCAAAAGAACAGCTGCGCTCTGCAGTCTGCCACACTCTCTACTTGAACTAACCAGGGAATCCTTGCTGTCACAATGTTATGTGTACCAGCTGAGAGCAGGTGAGGTCATGTAATCAAGCCTGGGTATCTCAGATCAGTGTGGAAGTGGAAAGTTCCATGGTGTGTTTTAAACAGCAAACCACACTCAAGTAACTCTCTGGTTCTGAAAACCTGACTTGGAAGTGAAGAACATGGCAGAGGCTAGTCTTCAATTTGTTACAGCTTCCTGCCATACCACACCTCCTCCAAAATTCTACTCATTTCACAACACTTTTCATCACTTGCTCTCGAAATCATGGAAAGAAACAGAGGGGTTGCAGAAATAACTCATGATTCTCAGACCCGTCCTGGGGTTGATGTGCAACTCCAGAGCTGAAGTCTAATCAATGGACTTAGAAAAATGATAACGATAAATTGTTCACATGAAGATGCAGGAGCTATTTCAATCTAAAAACACATTCTGCACATCTTTGGTACTGGAACTTTGTGCAGTATCTCGAGATTCTCCAAAAGACACCAGCCACCCTTGTGAAGGGTGCAGCATTCTCACCTTCTCTGAAGCATCTTGCTTGCGAGTGGAGTCGCGCCCACGCAGGCTCTTTGCGCTGATCCCCGACTCTGATGTTTGCATGATCAGTTGTGTAGCCAGAAATTGCTGCAGGAAAACCATGCTCTGTTAAGATTCTGAAGCAAAACAAGCTCAGTTAGAGCTTGTCAGCTAACCATCACAAACCACAGGGCTGGGAACGATTGGGTCAGAGACAGTTTCAGTTCCTTGTTTGCTACTCAGAATAAGTTCCCCCATTCACCTCAGAAGCCACGAGTCCGGAGGGACTATAAAAATCCAGCTCAAACTATGACAGCCCAGGCAGCTGGGACTTTCCACTTCAGAAGAAATTCTAAGTGATACATAATCTCAGACAGTTTTGTATATGCCTCAAGCCAGCCCAGACTGACAGTCACCAAAAGCAGCAGTTGCATCCCTTGTCATTCACCGATCTCGCTGCTTGTTTCTGTTCCTGAACCACACCCCAGTTCTTGCTGGCCTAAGCATATGTGCACCCCCAAAGGAAATTAGGTTTGAAATTAGTCTGGGCTAAACCAAACATTTTGCTGTGTTAGTTTTAACAATCCAGTTCACCACAAACACCTAAGCTGGTACAAGCAGGCATAGATGGGACTTCATTTGAAGACACTGTGAGAGAAACTTTGTTTTCACTTCCAGAAGCCTCTCCTGTACCTGTGAAGCAATGCAGACACTCTGTTCTGAAACAGCCTCAGCTCAGTACTATACCTGGATCTGCTCCAGGACATCTCGCTGCATCTCCACAGCCATATGGTACACATCATGGTCAGAGCTATTGTACATAACTGCATTTTGAAACATCAGCATAATATCACGCTGGAACTCAGCTGTGGTTCGTATCAGCCCGTTCTCGATGTTCTTCTTGATGGTAGATAAATCCATTGGCCTATGAAATACGTTCAAAACAGCAACACAAATATGTAACCCTTTCCCTTCTCGTTTGCAAACAATCTAAGGACTACGACATATCTAACTAGACCATCTATTTAATTTAGCAGAATATGTTCTCCACATAGGCTGCATTCCTGAGCTCAAGGCCTCAGATCAGGAGACACAGGCTGCTCAGCAGTTAACAGGAATGGAAACAATGAAGAACAGCTGCCTCAAGAGAGGCATTTGCCTTCTCCAGGCACCCTGGGCGACATAAGGGAGCCAGAGCCACTGGACTATTTAGGTGTATTTTGGTAACTCTCCCAGAATCTGGACTTTCTGAGACAATAAAAGAGCTGATCAAGGAACCCAGGTCTTTGGAATGTCAAACCTTAAATTCAACCCTTGGACAGAAACAGAGATAGTCACATACCACTTCACTGATAAAAAGCATTCTGGTCAAGTCTGTACTTCATTCAAGGGTTGGGCTGCGTATAGACTTGTATACATTACTGAAGATGACTCTTTTTCTTGGGGAAATTGAATGATGTCAGAAGAAAAGTATTTTCCAAGTTTTGCAGTCTGAACAACAGATGAAATCTAGACTTTTCCTGCCTGAAATTCTTACACAAATACACCAGAGTTTTCGTGACATAAGAATGCTGAGACTCACCTCTGCACAATGCTGTGGTAGCCTGGTGCTATATCATCAGTCACAGGCTGCAGGAAGACATTGGCATACCTAAAGAGAGAAAGACTCCACTGAATGCCCTGTCCTTGCCAGTAGAGGAACAATTCTCAAATACTTGTGTCATGCTCTCGTGTTTATTTGCCTGCTATCACTAACAGTATGATTCACCCTGTATCAAGGCAGGTAAGCCACAGAGTTGGGAAAGGACAGGCTTGCCTGATATTAGTCACTTCTTTCTGCCAGTTCTCAAGACATCAAACTCACCTGTGATTAGCTGCTGCTCTCCAAACCAGCATGATGGCTTTCTTCCAGATCTTCTGAGCCTGTATTGCTTCCTGATCCTCACTGCACACTGAGCTGAGAAAAAACAGTATGATTTCCTTTGTGAATCTCCATACTGTCTTGGAGTAGAAACCTTACAGTTCATTTTGCCTTTGTCATGCTTACAGTAAACCAAGCTGGAGAGAGATATAAAAAATGGGACCTGGCACAGCATTGTATGAACACCTGCACTTCTGAGTAAGGACAATCTAGTGCCAGACAAATCATCAACAAATTCCCCCACTGCACCCACTCAGCAAAACAGAAATGAGAATCCTACACTCCCCCCAGGAAACAGCCTGGGATTTGCACCTGTGTGACACAGAGCTTCACTGATACTCACAACTGCGAGGAGGCTGGGCTGCTGGGGATGGAGTCAGCTAGTGTGTGAGACTGCAATGGTGCGTTGTGGACACTGAAGCCATCGTCGCTCTCACTCACAGGGGGTTCGTTATCCATCTCTGACAGATATCCCTCACCTTGATCTTCTTCTTTGGGCTCCTCCAAACTGGCAGCCTCACTGGCACCGTCCTCATCATCCTCTTCACCCTGCCCATCCTGAAACACAAGGAGTTCATAAGTCTGCACGGCCAACTACAGCAGCAACTCAAAGCCTCCAAAGCACTATGGTTCAGCAAGCAGAGTGATATTCTTACTATAGCTTTGACAACTGTGCAGGCACTTCCACAAAATTCTGCTTACTATCCTGCCTTACTTCCCACTGCCAACAGCTTAAACATAGAAACGCGTGTACTCAGCTGTACAGGGCCTGCAGCAATCTCCCCTTTAGTTCCCAACTTCATGCTGACTATTTCTCAGTGCAGAAAGCTGAACACAGGCTTTTTTAGTAGGTGGGAACCAGAAAGCAGCAGCAGTGAGGTCTTATTAGTGAAACCAAGAGGACTACAGCCAATTCACAATTACCTTCATCTGACTCCTAAAGAGGGCTTGGGCTTCCTCCTTCATTGAGTCTGCGAAAGAAAGAGAAGCAGAAAGGTTATAGTTCTCTAATGCAGTCTTTTCTACAAAAGCTCCTGAACCAAAGCCTACTGTCCTGCAGTAATTACCCCTGTTCCTACATATACTTTTCTCCCTCCACCCCAAAACACCTGAACCAGATCACTGACATCTATCCAGCTAATAATGTTGCATGTAAAAGATTTCCTAGCTGTATTAAGTTACCTGACAGCTCAAATTTGTGCTGAACATCAGCCTGTGAGGAGTCTTCACTCACATTTGGGACTTGTGGAGGGGATGAATCATCATCAGGTGGGGTCTGGAGGGAAGAGAAATGCACAAATCTAGACGTTTGTGTCAGCTTACTTCAGTGAAGGTGTGGGCACAACTAATCTCGCTCTAACCTAGCTCAAGGCAATGAATTTCACTGAGCACCTTCCCAACAGCAGTTCTGCACATGGGCCAGGGGAGTTACATCAAAGTACTGCCTAAAGCAGAGAAGTTCCCTGCAGATCGAACGGATCGGCAGGATCCCAAGGAAACAGTCAGCCACATTCATTGATGCGTCACCTTCAACCCAGCACTCATCCTTCCTCTAAACCTCTTTCCTGCCTACTACAGCTGCTCCTCTTTCCCCACATCAGTTTCAGGCCTCTCAGCTCACGTACCTCAGTCTTCACCGTATTGTGCATTGTGTCTTCTCCCTTGGTCGATTCTATTTCAATTTCAGAGCTCTCTCCTGCTGCCACAGCTGCTCTTTGATCCTCCTCAATCTCTTGACTCCTAAGCTCTGGCGTTTCTGTTACTCTCGTCGTTGCTGACATGGTTTCTTCAGCGCCCAGCTGATTCTGCTCTTGCTCTGCAGGTTCTGTCTTTATTTCTGATCCCAGCTCTCCGATGCCCATTAGCTCTCGAATTCCCTTTGCCTCTGGCTCCTCACACTCCAGTCTCTCCTGCTTCACAGTCACAGACACTTGGGGTATCTGGGCCTGTTTCTCATGTTCCTGATGAATTGGGTGTTCCCATGGGCCAGGCAAAGCCTGAGGGTCATCAGTATCTTCACAGAAAGAGGACAGAGCAGCTTCCACAACTGCCGCATCCAGAACTTCGGGGTTGTCGTCTACCTTTATTACCAAAATAAACACAGAGAAATGCAGACCAAGGTCAGACAGAGGGACTAAAAATAATTCACTGTTATTTGGTAGCAAGCTAACTGTGGAAAAGCTGGGTGTAACAGATCTACAGAGTTGCTTTTAGCAGAGTCCCATCACTCGCTGTGGAGTCTGAGTTTCAGTAAAAGGGCACTGACTCAAACCCTATCCAACACGAGAGAGATTTCTGTCTGTATTCTGGAGCAAAGCACCAGGCTAAACGTGGCATTGGTGTCACAGTTGCTTTCTACTGACAATGACTGTGAAAATGGGCATTTTGAAAAAGTTATTCCTTTCCTGTTTAAGCTGATTAATTTGACAAGAAGTAATCGGTTGAGATTAACCTAACTTGATGGGGAAAACAAGCTACCAGCTCTGTGCTTTGCCTGTTTACCTTGTCTTCAATGATGGCTATAATATTTCCAACAGTATCAAAGTCCAGCTCTTCGCCTGTATAGGACACTGCAATATCCATCTTCTCAGCCAAATCCAGGTCTTCTTTCCCATCAATGCAGTGATCTTTGGAAGACCCCGCAGTACTGCCAGCTCCAGAACCCAGGCACTCTTTCTTGATTGAATCAATGATCATGGATATTTCACTGCTGTCCATGGATACCGTCACTGTATGGGAATCAGACACTGCTTCCATGGAAACACAGGCTTCTGGCTGGCTCACTGCACAGGGATGAGAGTGACAATCATAACCAAATACTGCAGTGGCTAAGACCAATCACCAGTCTCAAGTACCCCAGCTCCACCCATAACAGCACAGCATAGAAAAGTGCAAGACAAATACAGGTGACACGTTTGCTTTCCCACGGCAGAGAGAAAGAGAGACTCCAGGCCTGGAATCAGCCCCTGAATCACAATCCAGCAACTCCCCCCCAACAAACCCTGTTTAAATCCCATATTCACCACCTGTTTATTCCAAAACCCAGCCATAACCATCCTTTCAGAAAGGAAGGCGAGTCGGAGATGGTACAATGCCAGCGGAGAGCTTGCCGGCTGCTGTGCCAAGGCAAGTTCTGCGACCTCTGAGTGCGCCGTTCACACACGCACCTGTGACTACGCTTTCTGGAGCTGCAGCTGGTGGCACAACGGATGGTGCTGACAGCGTGGGCATCATGACAATGGTTGCCTGCGACACAGGCTCTACAGGGGGTGGCAGGAGCTTAGCTGGAGGTTCGCTGGCAACAGCGGAGAAGGAAGCAAGAGGTGAGGTGAACTGCGCAGGACCAGCTTCTAAAAGCCGGGAAAGCGTAGGAGCACCTACCAGAGAGTAGAAGGGAAAAGCACATGAGCGAGAAGCAGCACCGCTGGGTTCCTCACTCGTATGGTGGCTTCCTCTGGGAGAACACACTAAATAGTGCCTACTGACAGTCCCAAAAGCTGTAAAGAAAGCTGCACCACAAACGCATGATTCCTAGGTGCAGTCAGAGATGAAATCATGCAGACTATGGGACAGTGTTCAAAGTAAGGCCTGGACAGGCTAAGCCACACATGCAGAGAGATCCCCTTCCAAAGGTTCATTCCAGTATAATTACAGGAAATCTGAAAACCCGGACTGAGAGAGACACACAGGGTAAGCCAAGACAAACAGTCATCACAGGAGGTGGAAGGGAGCAGAGGGAATCTCTTTGCAGGTCTTTCTTGGAGACTTCCTTTGTTATCAGAGGTTGCCACTCAGCCGTAACTTCCAGTCTGAATTTACTGAACCATCTGGACCAAATTAAAAGGTCTTTAAGAACAGAGATGGGTAAGGAAAGTAAGATTATTCATTTGGAATTACGTATGAACAAACGGTGTAAACCCTCAGTTGCAGACAACATTAATAAATCCTTCATTAGTATCAGCTGAGAAGGAACTTCATCTCAGGCAGGAGGTTCTGAAAGGCCTCAGTGCACAGATTCCCACACTGTCCCTTCTCACTCAGCCTATGGAATTTTCTCTAGAGCCCACAGTCCACTGCAGTCTAATTCTCAGTGCTCCCCTGAGAAGCAGAGGTAAGGTAAATGAAGTCTGCAGTTTCACAGGCAGCTGTATTTAGGCACATTGAGGCTCAGACACTAGATACAATTTTCCCCAACTCCCTGTCAACTAAATCTTCATTTCTAAACTGAACTGCCAGCTATTAGGCCAGCATCAAACCCAGAAAACTAGACTGGATGGACCAAAGCCAATCAAATCTATCCATTCCAGTCATTTCAGACCAAGACATACATACATATATATATAGATATATATTTCCCATTAAGAATTAGTCTTCTCAAAAGGAAAACAGGGAAAGGGATAAGAGTGCAGAAATAGCAACAGATCTGGTAAAGAAGCCCCCAGATGAGGCTGGCTGAGAAATGCTTTTCGTTTCTCTCCAAGGAGAATTCATAAAACAGTCTGTGAAATTATGGCACGTAACAGCAACATTGCTAAGCCTCAGGGACTTCTAAAGGGAGAACCGTACAGGGAAAAAAACCCTTTGAGTTACCTGAAGCAGCAGGAGATGCAGGAACAGCACCAGGTGCTGACTGCATTTCCCCACTGTGCAGCACTGGAAGGACACTTCCTACCTCCAGCAGGACTCCTGAGCTGTTCATGTGACCAGAAGCCACTGCCATCTCATTTTCACCAACCTGCCAAAGGAGGACACAACTGAAGTTCCTGGAGATACGAACACATCAGCGATTCTCTGCCAAATATGCACCTCTGTGAGTATATCCATCATTTGCTGTCTCAACAATTCTGTGCTTTTTGTCTAGTCTAGTCCCTGCCTAAGGTCCCCTTATGCAAGTTTAAAACTATTTTTCAACTCCAATACAGCTACAGTGCAAACTCCCGTTAAGGTAGGACAAAAACATCATTTGCTCTACCTCAGTTACTCAGCACAAAGATCACACAACTCCTTACAATACCGGTAGAGTTAGCCTCTCTACCCCCTAAAATGGCAAGGAATTATCCTTTGAGTTCAGAGAAACTGACACATGAAGATGGAATGCAACTCTGTCAAGGTCACACTCTAAACCACTAACAGACCGAATCAACTGATACAAAGAAAACCCAAAGACTTCCACAGCCATTCTCTTCCCTTTGTCGTATCTTACACTGCAGCCCACTAACACAGAGCATGGAACACCTACACAAGGTAATGTATGGAAAATGCTCCAAATATGATTACTGAGAAATCATCAACAGCAATACATCTACTTCATCACACAAGCACTACTGCAGGGAATTCAATGCTGTGTGCAGGCTGATGGCTGCTGCTTTCTGCAGGGCTCTGATCGGAGTCAGCAATGGCTGCCCTCCTTCCTATGCCTTCTAGTCACTAACACCAGAAGGGCCAAAATGACATCACAACAACTGGCTACAACTAGGAGAAGACTGAAGAACTTCAATATTGGTCATAAACTTCATTGAAGGGCTCTCTATTCCTACACTAAGATCCACTATAAAGACTGAAGCACAAGATTACATCCTGCCAAGATGTAAGCAAGAACTGTGAGCCCAAAGGAGAACTCAACAAGAACCATGGAGACTGACCGGGATGATGCCTACTAACATGCAGCCCCAGTGAGAACCATTTCCTCTACCAAAGCCTGCAACTCCAACTCCTTACAGCTAGGGACAGCCAGTTCTGTGTGCTGACACCTGCAGCCCTGGACTCCCAGTAAAGCTGGGAAAGAATCCCACCTTCGTGGCTTCACAGGGATAATTATCTCTCAAATTTCTCTTCTGCTGGGATTCTCACACAACAGTATATTTTTTAAAAGCCTTTGCAGCTCCTCCTTTTTCAGTGGAAGAGTCTGGAGCAGATTATTTGTGTGCTTGTATATATGAGCAGAGAGCTCCATACCAGCCTGGGGCTTGTGGGCAGGAGACTGCCCTTCTTCAGCAGCTCTGAGAGCAGAGGGGAAGGAGGCGGAGTTGCTTTTTGTCCTAGCATCTTTTTCTGGGGTGAATCATCAGTGACTGGGGTCATGGGGGCATCCAGGGGAGCAGAGCCTGGAGGGGTGTCAGGGATTCCAATGAAGGAGGCAACTGGGGTGCTGGGCAATGTCCCTGGAGTGACCTGAGAAAGAGAAAAACCACACTGTTCAAAGCCACACTCCACCACACCGACTAGTCCCACTTGCTCCTTCCCCCAAGAGCAGTGATCAAGAACAGCACACCACAGACACCTACTACATTCACTCACTACACTACTCCAGGCTTTCACCCTTTCCCTGCCCTGTAGTGCCACTTCCCAGGCACACACAGAAGACTGCCTGGTCAACCCACTGCTGCCCCTACACAGCCTTTGATTCAGGCACCTGATCATCACAGACACGGAGGAAGACACGTCTCTCGAGCAGCACTGTACATCAACCACACTACAGCACTACCACAAGGAAAAGTCTGCAGAACAAGCCAAGGGCTTCTCCCCACGCTCCTGTTCCATGAAGGATGCAGAACCCCATGTCCCAAGCTGGTCTTTCCCTCTTACCATGGGAAATGTTCTTACCCCTGGGCTGGCCTCATCCACAGCAGGCTGAGACAGATCTCCCAGAGCATAGTCTCCCCCCGGAGAGGTTGAACCTGCAGGGGAGCGAACCATCACACCCGTTAACCTGCGTGGCGGATTCTTAATGGCCAGACGAGCTGGAAGAGAACAGAAGAGAAAGGGATTCCGTGACTCCATCCATCTTGGACAGCTCCTGAGTTACTTCTGACTGGCCTAAAGAACCCTAAGAAAACAATTTATACTGTAGAAACTTCCTGCACCACACCACACTAAGATCACAGATAATACTAGGGATTGACAGTGCACCTTAATTTCATTTCCCCAGCAACTGGGTATTTACCACATCCCACCACTGCTAGGGTAGCTCATTGCATTGCCCTAGGAACTGTGAATGGATGAAACATTCAGAACGAATTCTTACTCCTCTTACACATGCCCTTTCTACAGAATTTGTTTTCTTATCAGAACTCTTTGTGTTTTGCTGGAAAGAGAATACAAACTCTTTCTTCCACCCCGAGGGCAAAGAATTCACACCAAACAGGTCATAAGACATGATATTTTCCAGAGGTTCTGAAGAACAGAAGCACATCCCTTGGGGAGCAAAGAAGCAGCTGTCCACCTTACCTTGATAAGCAGCATCTGTAGCCTTCCTCTTGACTTCTGCCTCCTCCTCCTCCAGCTTCTTCTTTCTGTACACAGAATAAAAATCTTGTCATGTGTTCCACTGCCCCTTAGCTTTTCCCACACAATCAGCTTACTGGCTCCTACCCCATAATCTCCAGACAACAATGAACTACTCTGTGGACTCAGCCTTAAATCCTCTGAGTAGGAAAGCAGAATCAGAGGCCAACAAGAGAATACCACGCTTCACAGGAAGTTTCACTTCCAGTAGCACATCAAAATGGTAGAAGCAAGCATCATTTTGCAAGCCATCAACAAACTCTATCCTAACTCTATCTAACTCTGGAAGACGTTTCACATCAGCTGCTGTCCCGCAACCTAAGTTCACCCCCAGAGGCCAAAGCATGACCTATCTCTCTCAGTTCAAAAAGGACTGAACCAAAGACGTCTGCCAAACACAAAACATCAGGGACTACAATCTCAGAAGAAAACAACATGGAAATAATTAAATAACCCACATCATAATCTCATTGCACAGCTCCTCCAGTCTGTTATCCATGTGTCCAGCCTGGATCAGCTCTGCATCCTTCTTGAGTTGCCTGTAATCAGAAAGTCTTCTTAATTACTTATTACCAACCAATAAGCCCAAAAAGCTCCTGTTCCATATGCTTCTGCCCCAAGCACCATCCCACTTAGGCCACTTTTTCAGGACAGGTTTTCAGGCACATCACAGCTCTGCCTCTGCCACATACCTGTATTTCTCCTGTGTTTCTTTAATAATTTTCTTCAACTCCTCAACCCGTTCTGCAGTCAGTTTCCGCACAATGACATCTTCCACAGTTTCCACCACCTCTCCTTTCTCACCACGCTTTCTCCTGCAGAACAAGAGGAAAACAAAACAGTCATGAAGCAGAAAATCTGAGTTCTCCTTTCTTTCATGGCTGCTGCCCGCTGTTCCCAGTCTGCATTTGCTTCAGACTTTATACTCACTTAGGGGTCTCTGTAGTCTCCAAGAGCTCTGAATACTGAGATGCACAATGCTGAAAAGAAAGAAAGAAAATCAGAGGACATCAAAGAGTCAGATCAACCTACCTACAAAACCTTCAGGCCACTACTCTTCAGAGGTCTAATGCTTTATGAACAGAATTCTCCTGAGTTTCTCCCAAAGACACAATTTAGCAGACCTCAAAAGGAGGAAGCAAGTTCACTTTTTCATTCTAGCTGAATGAAACAGATTTGGCTGATTCAGAACAAAGACAAAAAAACAGACATTCCCAAAAAACAAATTAGAAAAAAAAAAAAAAAAGAACCTGAACACGAACAGGAAATCTGTAACACTTCAGTGTGTGAACACAGACCAAAAATATTTCAATGAAGAAGACAAGATAGTATTAAATCAAGCTTAACAAAACTACAGAAACAGTAAATGACATTAAAACCAAACCGAAAAAGAGATTTCTCCCTTAATTCTCTTAATTTCTCTCTGGCCCTTACCTAACAAAAATTGCAGGTGCTTGGCCAAACACTTGGACGCACCAAAATATAAGGGCATCCACAAAACCCCACAGCTCAATCATGTGCCTCTTGTGGTTTGCTTTGAACCTGCCTCCTGTCAGTCCTACTTAATAGCCTCTAACTCTTCTACTGGACAAGCCCTGTTCACCACTGGCACGCTGCTCACAATTGTATGGGCATCTGTTGTTTTTCTTTTCAGTTATCTCTTTCTTATGCCAAAAGGTTCTACGTTACTTTGTCATCCCTTAGAAGGGATCTTTCCACGTCTCTGATCATTCTGCTCTTTTTTGTTTTTAACCTTATCCAGTCTTATAACAATTCAGTTTTGTAATCTTATTGCCTTGCACACCGCATACAGAATTCATTTTTGTCCAGGACTACATTGGCAGCCTCTTACCTTTTGGGAAAACCAATCAGGCGGGCGGCCTGGCTCTGCAAAGGGTTTGATGGCTCTGCTGACTGAGACCCTGTAGGGGAAAAATAGCACATGACTGCCCACTGATCCTACACTGACCAACACACTGCAAAAAGGTCTCTTAATGCTCATCACAGAACAGTCCCCATTAACACAATGGATTTGCCAAGATGGAGTTTGTTTTTTTTTTTAAGGAATCATTCAACTATGGCCTCTGGACTCAAAAATATCTCTCTACTCCTGCTGCAACAGCTTCCCTTCCTTGCTTTGAAAATCATGTTCTAATCAATTAAACAAAAACTTCCCTTTCTGGGGGGGAAACAGGCAGCAAAAGCAAGCTAGGAGCACAGGAATGGCAAACACAGCTCATACGTATGTTACCTGGACACAACTCTTCCTATTCAAGCTTGCCACGGTTCAAGAAGTGTCTGGATAACACTATCAGACATAGAGTCTGTATTTTGGATAGCTGTATGTAGAGCAAGTAGTTGGACTCAATGAACCCTGAGTGCCCCTTCCAACTCAGGATGCTCTATGATTCAATCCACAAACACGTGCTCTGCACCAATTAATGTACTTCTGTTTTCACACGCTATTCCAGAAGAAGCAGAGCCGTTTCCAGGCACGTGTTTAACACCCCTACCCGTAGCACGCCGGAAAAAGAATCGCACAGGACCAACCGCACAGTGCCAGGCCCACCCCTTACCAGTTCTGGTCGCCGCTGCGCATGACGGAGGAGGCGAGGCAGAGCTTCTCGCGGATGGACCAGGGCTCGGTGGGGCCAGCGCTCAGCAGCTTATGCTCTGCAGGGACAACGGGAAGCTCCGCACCGCGGCAACGCACCGCGCCAAGCCCAGCCCACACCACTCTTTGGCCCCACCCACTCTAGCAGGCCCCGCCCATTCCGACAGTTGGCCCCGCCTTTCCCCTCAGACCTCCTCAGATCTCCTCGGGCCGCTCCCCCGCCCCTTCCCGCCTCAGCACCGTGACTGCGAGCCGCCGCCGTTCCTCTGCCCCCGGCTAACCGGTTCCCCACCGGTTCCCCACCGGCTCTCCCCACAAGCCCCGCACTCACTCCCCGTTCCCGCCGCCATCTTCCCCGCCCGGCCCGAGAGAGACGGGGCGGAACTTCGCGCACAGCTCGCCGGGAGCCGCGCGCGCCCCTCCCCTCTAGATCAGGCCCCGCCCATCCGGTCTTAGCACAGCCACTGATTGGTTAGCGCGCCGCCACGGGCTGCCATTGGCTTAGCGAGCGGGCGGCGAGGTTTGAAACCCCAACAGCAGCGGCCGCGAGGTGAGAGTGGCGTTCGTCCGGTGAGCGGCGCCTCTCGTTCGACCGAGGGCTGGGGAACGGCGGGTGGCGGAGCCCCGTGTAGCGGCCTGCGTCGGTGTGTGGGGAGGACCCGTCCGCAGGGTCGTGTGTGCGTGATGCGGGACGGGGGTATGCGCTCGTGGGAAGCGGGCGGGCCGGCTGGGCCGCTGCTCTGACATCGCCCTGTGCCGCTTTTTCCTCAGCAGCCCTGTGGGACGCCATGGAACAAGCGCTCGCCTCCCCGGGGCTGTTCTCTGATGATGACGGTGCTGCTGCGGCCTCCCCCGTTTTGGAATCCACAGCGACGGGGTTTGGAGCTGACGTGCGCAAGGATCTCCTGTCCGAGTTCTCCGCTATCTCCCCCAATCTCGAGGGCTCCCAGCAGGTGAGGTTGGAGCAGTGCTGCGTCCTGCATGCAGCACAAAATGGTTGCCCTGCACCATTGTCAGCAGGGACTCTTAAGAAGAGACTGCTTTGGGCAGAGCAGCTCCTGTTACCAGCAGCCTACTGATGAAGGGCACAATTAATGGGTGCTCCTTAATGTGGTGCTCAGTTCTGGGGCTGAGTTTGGTGTCACAGCTTTGGGTTCTTGTTCTGGTTCACTACATAAACCCAAGAATTGTTCTGCCGTATGTGGAAATGTATGAAAAGATGTTCTGGTGTTTTTGGGAACCTTGGAAGCACTGAAGTGTTTGTTAATTACTGAGCAAACCTTCAGGGAGTTGTGTGTCTTCCAAGCATTGATTCCTGTTGGTGTTCTGGGCCTGGCAGATAGCTGTGCGTTGCTGCTCTGGCTGCTGTGTTTAACTTGTGCAAATTTTGCAGGCTATTGCTGAAGATGTTAATGGAAAACTGAAGGTGTATCTGAGAGTTCGACCCCTGAAACCCACAGAGCTGGAAAAAGGGGAAGACCAGGTGAGATCCTTAATAAAGCAGTTGTCTGTGTTCTTACTGGGAGAACCAATTTTCCTTTGATGTTATGTCATAACCTCTTGTAAGCCGCTGCAGTGATGGGATTTTATTTTCTCTTTCAGGGTTGTGTCTGCATTGAGAATTCAGAGACTCTTCTTCTAAAAGCCCCCAAGGACTCCTTCACCATGCGGAGCACAGAACGTGGAGTGGGACAAGCAGCACATAGGTTCTCTTTCACTCAGGTACGTAACTGCACAGACAACCACAATTAACCCAATTAAGAGGGCTTTGAGCTTAAGCCAGTAATACAACTTAAAAAGCTGCCTTATTATTAGTAATATCAGTACTCTGTGTGAACTGTATTCTCTTGTACTATTCTCTACTCATTTCTGATGTTTTCCTTTTTTACATATATATTTTGAAGTAGATTCTGTAAGCTTCAGTAGCAAATGCCAAACTCTTATTTTGTTAATAAAGATCTAAGCATGCTAAAGGCTGTAGTAATATTGTATGTTACTGGACTAAGCAAGTGAACAGTCTGTTTTTATAGGGCTCTTGGACTGAAATTACTGGTAGTTTTGTGGTGGTGGAGGATGGAGGGCTCCATTAAGGACTAAGAAGTATTGTTTGAAAAATCAGCTGCAGTCTAAAAGCAGGAAACATCTACATGAGACCATTTTCTGTGTTTTTTTTTGTTGCAGATCTTTGGACCAGATGTGGGGCAGAAATTGTTTTTTGATGAAACAATGAAACAGGTGGTAAAGGATGTACTGAATGGGCAGAACTGGCTGGTTTACACTTATGGCAACACCAATTCAGGGAAGACTCACACCATTCAGGGTAATGGGAGTATGAATGTGAATGGGAGCAGACACGTGAATGTGTGCTTCTACATTTCTGTTGAATCTATAGCTTCCTGCTCTTTCTTCAGGCAGCATCAAAGATGGTGGAATTCTGCCTCGTTCCTTAGCTGTTATCTTCAATAGTGTGGGGGACCGCCTGTACCAAGCCATGGACCTGAAGCCTTCACTGTGCAATGAGGTGATCTGGCTGGACAGCAGGCAGGTTCGGCAGGAAGAGACCAAGAAGCAGAGCATGCTGCGGGGGGGCCTGTGGGAAGTAAGTATTTTGCTTCCAGGAGGTGTCCTAGGGAGTGAATAATGTCAGACCACCTGGTCGTGGCTTTTCTTGCTTCCTTTTTAGGAGGAGCTGTTAACACCACTGAAAAGGAGTTGCAGTGCTGAATCTCAGCTTCAGGGCGCCATCAGTGGCAGCTTTGACAGTGGAGTTGCTGGCCTCTCATCATCCAGCCAATTTACCAGCCATTCAGAAATCAGCCAGACAGAAGGTATGACTGGAAACCTAACTTGTACCTCCTGCTTATTGGAGGAACAGAGGAAGAAAGGGCAATAGCTATCTAGATGCTGTGCTGTTCAGTAAAGAAGCCAAGGTGTTACAGTCTCGATTTTTCCCTTTGAAAGATGATGGCTCCTGTAGCAGATTTGCTGAGTCACGGCCTGAAGCAGTGATTGAGCACCTGCTGGGAAGGCAGGGCCAGCCCAGGGGAGCCCAATGTGCCTGAGTGACAGAAAGGGACGGAGCCAGGACAGACCCTTTCCCAGACCTCATTTAAGGGTTGGCAGTGGAGATGAGGGCATCTCCTGCTGGAGATCCCTGCCTACTCTGAGGCCTTCCAAAGGCAGGCAGCTCTTCTCCTTCATTTCTGCATCTATGGCTGCTGTGTTTGGGCTTGTTCTCATTTGTAGCAGCTGAAGACTTTGCTACCCTGCTGTTATTGTGGTACTTTCCCTCCCATCATATCATTACAGCCTCTCAGCTGAAGAACTCTGTACACTTGTCTCATCAAAATCTGAACATATGGTTATTGAGCAGGTGACTGCCATGCAGTGAGGGGTTGTTGGAAAGCAAGGGGCTGCACTGAGATATCACACTGACCACTTGTACCCAGATTGTCAAATGGAGGAACTACTAGCTGAGTAGGTATCCAGAAGCAGGGAGTAACAAGGCTTAAAACACGTCAGACTTTTTCTGAAATGTCTTGTGCTTCTTGAGTTGAGACCAAGTATATAGGAAGTCCTTGTGCATAAAGATACTGTTACAGGGAATTTAATACTGTGTGATTGGGCATAGGTAATTGCACATGTCCAAACAGCAGAGGGTATGTAGAATAGCTGGTGTCTGGGATGGTGCTCTTTCTGAAGAAGGACACTTCAGTTTTTTCCTGAACAACTCAGATCTGACCTTTGGAAGTCTGCAGTCATGATTTCTTCTTTTTTTCCTCCCCAGAACTGGGCCCTCGTTGGGCTGACTTGGATCGTATTTCACTCAGCAGCACAGGAGATGTGCAGTTCTCCATCTGGGTCTCCTTCTTTGAGATTTACAATGAGTTAATCTATGACTTGTTAGAACCAGCCCTCCCTGGCCAGAACCGCAAGAGGCAGACGCTGCGGCTCTGTGAAGACCAGACTGGCAACCCCTATGTGAAAGGTATTACCTGAAAGATGTTCACAGTGGGCCTCCAGGTGGATCACACCTGAGGGAGACTTGAGGACAGAGTGGGTGGCCTAGTAGTGATATGCTGAGAAGCACAATGTCCTCTGGCCCTTCAGAAGTTTCTGATGCCTGGATAAAGAGGATGTGAAGCTTATTAAGGTCAGGGAAATGCTTTGGTTTTTTAACTGCCGTGCCCAATGCATGCCTTCTTTTCCAGATCTAAACTGGATCAATGTCTGTGATGCTGATGAGGCCTGGAAGCTCCTGAAACTGGGTCGGAAAAACCAGAGTTTTGCCAGCACCCACATGAACCAGAATTCCAGTCGCAGGTCTGGAGCGGGAGGGGAGGGAGCATTTCTTAGATATACAGTTCTGAGAAGCTTTTAAATGTTACATTTCATTGTTTTCTTTTTAAATGCCTGCATGCTTCTTTTACAGTCACAGTATCTTCTCCATTCGGATTCTGCATTTGCAAGGAGGTGGCAGTGAAATTGTTCCCAAAATCAGTGAGTAAGTTCCATGCTTTCTAGGATTTGTGGGTATTCTCTGGACTTTCTTAAACTGTTACTGTGGATCTGGGAAGTATCTTAAGGAAGATCTTGTGGGAAGCACTTAAAAGGAGTGAATGTTTCCACTCTTCAGGCCTGGAACTGACAGTGGGGAGAGTTTCGTTGAGGAGTACAGCAAAATATGACTTGAGATTAAGCTCTTTAAAAGTAAGCATGAGTAACTGCCCTTGCAGCAGGGCTGATTTAACTGAGGCTGCTGCCTGTTTTTCAGGCATGGTTATCTGGACATGAGTTGGCCCAGTGCCTGGGAAGTGGTCTTGAGGATCTTTGGATGTGACACCAAGCTCATGTTGTTCTTATCTCATTTAATCCTTACACTTGGGCTGCTGCTAGACAGAAAGACCTGCCTAATTTATCCCAAAGGAGCTTTCTTGTGAGCAGGGGAAAGTGATTGCGAGGTGTCTGAATTTAAACCTGGTGAGAACAGCACAAATACGGTGGGTCAGATGATAACATCTCCGTTTTTTTCAGGCTATCCCTGTGTGACCTTGCGGGATCAGAGCGCTGCAAAGACCAGAAAAGTGGGGATCGAATGAAGGAAGCAAACAACATCAATACTTCCCTCCATACATTGGGTCGCTGCATCACTGCCCTCCGTCAGAAGCAGCAATCCAAGTGAGTATCTGGAGCTTCAGAGGGGAGGGTGTGGGGAGGCTGTCTTTTCCCATGGACTTACTGTTGTCTCTCCCCACAGACTGAAGCAGATTGTGGTTCCCTTCCGGGACAGCAAGCTAACCCGTGTGTTCCAGGGTTTCTTCACTGGACGTGGGCGCTCTTGTATGATTGTTAACATTAATCAGTGTGCATCTACATATGATGAAACTCTGTATGTAGCCAAGTTCTCAGCCATTGCCAGCCAGGTAAGTAACACTTAATAGCACTCTGACATGCTCAGGATGCCTCCTCCTATGGGAATGGGTCCTTTCCTACCAGAGGGCAGGCACTCCTTCCCTGTGTTATGCAGTGGATTGTTAACTCCACAGTAATTTCAAACTCTACTAAAGTCAGAAGTTTGACAGCATACAGAGAAGTGCTGTGTTTAAAGGCTATGTAGCCTCCAGGCTTTGTGGGCCAGTAATGATAGTTTTTTCCCCTTCAGCTTGTTCAGGCCCCTCCCACAAAGCTGGGACTTCCATCCATACAATCAATTATCAAAGAACACAGCAGGCGAACCAGTCAGGGTTCAGAGGCTACAGAGAAGGAAGAAGTGAAAACAGAAGACAGTGAAGATGAAGTGGATGTCTCTGTTTATGAGAGAGAGGTGGGTTGTGATTTATTTTAAGCTTTTATTGATAGAAAAGCAAGAAGATGACGAAACGTTAATCTGGAAGGTGACTCCTGGAACTCAGTGCAAAAGATGACAGAAAACCTCAAAGATGTGATCCTAGAACACTGTAAATTGAGAATCTATGGAAGGTATTCCATCCACAGTCATTCAAAATCTGAAGCACGTGGTTAAAAGCATTTGTCCATTTGTAGAACAAGGACAGTAAGAGCTCAGGTGCAGATCTGTAATCTCTATAAGGGAAATCTTGATCAGAGAATTAGTAAAACAGTTGGCTAAACTGATGAAAAATAATCAGACTTTCTGGATACTCAAAGTGGGCAGCTGGAATAGCTGAAAGAGTGGGGTGGAAGAAATGCAGAGATCTGAGTGTATATTCAGAGATCTGAATGTATCAGTGTAGCAAATGCATGTGCAGCCTTTGTCAGTGCAGTATAGCAAGCTGCTTATGGAGATAGCTTCAGTTAGAGTGGTGTTTAAACCATCTCACGGGGAGGGAATTGGGAACAAACCTACCAACTTGGTTGCAGTCACTTGGAAAAACATCCTAAACCTAGATTACCCCAGCTTTACAGATACAGGATCAGCTGGTTTGTTTTCTCTAGGTCTTAATTCTGCTATGCAGTGTGAGCAAGGGAGTTTGTGTCTTGCAGGACTTGTTGCGTGCGGTGGAAGCTGCGCGAGAACTGCTGGTGCAAGAGAGGCAGGAGAAGCTGCAGCTAGAAATACGCCTCCGTACAGAGATCTGCAATGAGATGCTGGAGGGCATGCAGCAGAAGGAGCAGTGGTGGAGGTACAGCTGAGGCTGATCGATCTCCCTGTGTGCAGGGTGTGCTGTGGTGCCAAGGACTGTCAGACCCAGATGCAGACAGTTGTTTGTTCTCATTGTAGCCAACACATTGATGCCCAGAAGGAACTGCTGGAGGAACTGTATGAAGATAAACTGAATAACCTGAAGGAGTCACTGACTGACTATTACCAGGAAGAAATCCAGGTTTGTTCAGAGGGATGGAATGACATCGGGAAGGTGGCAGGGACTTGGGGGTACTTAAGTCCAGGAAGGTGATGTTACACAGACTGAAAATAAATATTTTGGGTGTTTTTTTGTGCTGTGTTAATACATGATAACTTCATCCACAATTCTTGTTAATTTTCATTTCTTGACTATTCTGTAGTTAGTTGGACTTCAGATTTTTTCAACCCTTAATCTGGGAATTAACATGTGATCATTTTTATTCCTTTATTAGTCCAACATAATCCTTTGTCCCTTTATTATTTTTGCTAGTGGCTTGTCTTGCAATCTTCAAATTAACACTAGTGCTCTGAATTTCTTTCTTACCTGTAGTTGTGAAGGGTGCAGGCCTGTCTGTAGTTCTCATCATATGAGACTGGCCCTCTCTGAAGATGCAAATTAACATGTGTTGTAGAGAGGCTGGAAAAATAGTTTAGGTTCTCAAGAAGTGGTTTCATATCTTCAGTTAAAGTGCATTAAATGCTGTATCCAATGTGTGAATGTATGATGGAGAGTGTCTTGTGGGGGAAAAAGGCTCTGAAAATCTGAGGTAACAAAGGCTGTATTAAGAAAGCTGTTTAATTTTTGAACGAACTTGCTTCAAGGAGCGTGATGAGAAGATTGAAGAGCTCCAAGCTGCTCTGCAAGAGGCAAAACAAAAACTGGATGCTAAGCAAAGGGACTCAGAGCAAGGCTTGCGTCGATCAAAGCGAGTGGCTGCCTCGTGTGCTCTGCAGCAGGAGCTGACAGATACTAAGGCCAAACTGGAGCAGTGTCAAATGGAGTTGAATACAACATCATCAGGTAAGGCAGGCTTATCTCCTAGTTCAAAATCTAAAGTTCACTTGTTTAAACTGGAAGCCTGGAAGCCTGAGCTCTTCTCAGTTTGTCTGTTTCAAGAGCAGTCCAGACTTTAAGAAAAACCTGATGTTCTGTGAATGAGCTCCTGCTCACTCGTTTCTGTCTGTCCTTAGAGTTGCGCAAGTACCAGAGATTACTGGAGCCACCTCCCTCTGCCAAACCCATTACTGTGGATGTAGACAAGAAACTGGAGGATGGACAGAAGGTAACTCTATCTCTGTTAGAAACTTGCATAGCAAAATCCTTGCCAGTTAAAATGTATTTGGAGCTGCTATTTTCAAGTCTTTAAATGGTTGACAGCATTCTGAAAGCAAACCTTGAGCACAGATGTGGAGGATGCTGGTGTTACTGATCCCACTGTACCTCACTCAGATCTCCCTCAGTGCTGCATGTCTGGATTGTCTCAGAGCAGCCTTGTTTCTAGAACAGTGTTAATACAACAGCTTGCTTTAAATCTCTCCTGTAGAATGTGAGATTGCTGCGCTCAGAATTACAAAAACTTGGGGAATCTCTTCAGTCTGCAGAGAGGGCATGCTGCCACAGTACAGGTGCAGGGAAACTTCGAGAAGCCCTTTGTATGTGTGATGACATCCTGGCTAGACAGGTAATGTGTTGTCTCTTGTTGCAGTGTGGTATTTATGTACTTTGACATAAGCAGCAGATAGTTGCAGCTACAAGGATCTAGGTCTATAAATGTCTTATTCTCTAGACATGTAAATACCTGTTACTTCAAGGAAGCTATACTGCTAAATCTTCTCAGTGTCTGAGTCATACTGCATACTGAACTCTCCAAAGGAGACCCAACTGTTTCTGTTCAGCCACCTGACAGCTTGCACTTAAAGCAGAATTCAGAGTTCCCATTCCTTTATCCACTGTGCTCCATCACAGTTGCTATGGCAGCATGCGTACAGCAGGATGGATTCTGTTTTTTCCTTAGCATAACTGTTTCCCTTTTGTTACTGAACTGCTATAGTGGTGACAGGAGCTTTTTCTGTATGGCCTTACTTAGCATGCTGGTTAGTGAAGTTCAGCAGAGTCTTCAATTTATAATAACCAAGGAGTTGCATTATTGCATTTCTACACATACTGCTTTCCATTTTTCAGGACCAAACTCTGGCAGAACTGCAGAACAACATGATGCTGGTAAAACTGGATCTGCGGAAGAAAGCAGCTTGCATTGCTGAACAGTATCACACTGTACAGAAGCTCCAGGCTCCTCCCATGTCTACGCTAAAGAAACGGTTCTGTGCCAACAGGGAAAACCTACAACCTAACCAACCTCCTGGCAAAAAGCCCTTCCTGCACAACCTTCTGACACGTTCAGCTCCCCGTCCTGCTGCTACCAGGGGGTGGCAACTCCGCTCAGTTGCTCTATGACTTCTTGGAAAGGCATCCCTGCCTCCCCATTACTGGAACAGGTGGCACATCCAGTATCATAGCTTCTCTTCTTCTTTGTGTGCTTGTTTATTATTGTAGCTGCTTGAGAGCTTATGTAAACATTTCTGCATATGTATGGTTAAAAGTTTTAATTGATACCAAAGTGGACAAAATGACCTTCTGTAATTTAAACACTACAGCAAGGAAAGATTTTTAAATATCAAACAGTGCAGAGGAGCAGAGTGTGGTTTAACAGAAAGACCAGTTAAAATGAGTTCTCTTAAACTGTGTTGGTACATAAAAATAAGTTCACAAGATCTCCTTGTAAGATATTCTCCCTTCCTTGAATTATAATCCTTTATTAAAGTATACACGTTCTAGTTCAGGGCTGTTCTCCTGGATCTTTGCTTGTAAGTCTGGCTCCAAGTGTGTTACAGACATAGAACTGAGCAAAAGAAACAAGCAAAATGGTTATATACAACAAGCACTTGATTCTAAAATAAGACTGAATCTCTTTAAAATTCCTGGGTTCTGAAAGTTTATAAAGAAGAACTGAGAACTCCTCATAAAGGAATCATGCTCCACCTATAAGCAAAGGACTCCCTCATTTAAAAGGTGTTAGAGATGTTCCATACCTTACAGGAACAGCTGAGCTCCTACTATCATGAAGGTAGGAAGCTAAGGAGTTGCTTAAGGTTGTTCTGTCATTAGAAGCTTCTCTTCCTTAGGGTGTTCTTCATAATCAATGTCTTCTGCCTGTTTTACTGTCTGATTTTATTTTGTTAATGTTTATTTCTGAGTCATCACACACAAAAGTGAATTCTGCTGCCAGATCACATAAACAGCTGCAATTTTCTAAAGCAGTCTGAGATCTAATCTTTCTGTGAAATTGAGAGCACCAGTTAGAATCAGGCTACTGTGGTAGAGGGGTGCTCTGAGTTTGGTGCTAGCTGGTTTGCTAGCTGTCTCTGGGTAGATTTTAGCACAATCCTTTTCTATGCCAGGCGTGAAAACAGCCAAAACTGCTTTGTGCTATTCAATTAAATCAGCTGAGAATTAGGTGTTTTGTTTTTTTGGAAGTCAAAAGCTACTTCAATTGCTTCTTATTTTAACCAATTCAGCTCCAGCCTGCATCTTTTAAGCTACATTTGGCAGCTTGTCAACTTGTAGTGCTGATAATCACTAAATAATGAGCGATAAGTGAGTTGAACACATAAGACCCTGTTTCTACTACATACTGCAATTTGAGTTAACTTCAGTTGGAGGTAACTCAGCCAGATCTTATTCTTATCTCAGCTGTGAGTTTTTTTTTTGACAGGTTTTCAGTCTGAGGAGTTTGTACTGATGGGGAAAAAAAATCCCTTAAGTTGCAACTAACACCCAGTCAAGTGCTGTTCTCTATAACCAGTTTCTAGCTAAAAATGAAGTGGGATCTGACCATTCTTAATGAAGCCATAACCTCAGTGGACATTAACAGGTCATGTAGACTGCATTAATAACAATGTTACTCATCGCTACTTTTCTGAATATTCTCATGTTTATCATGCTATATGAATATTGAGACTGTATGCTCTGGGAGGCAACGACAACTTGTGTCTCTTTGCAGTATCTTGCATGTGTTGAATGTCACATTAAAGAAAGAATAACGTAACAGGAATACGTACCTTTTTTGAGGAAACAGTGCACAACACAGAGGAGTTGCAAACACAAGGCTAGAGAAGACAAAAACAGGTTTACAATGTTGAGGGTGCTAAAAAAATTTGAAATTTTACAGTGTAAGCACACAGCTCTTTTGTTTTTGTTTTGGTAGGATGGTGAGATAAGGTTCAATGAAAAACAACTTTATTTCTCACTGCATTGTACTGCTGAAATCCTTTGTGTATTAAATGCATAAGCAATACCCTTTCATCTGATGTCCCTGCAGTGCTTTGCACTGGTGTTCGTGCAATACGAGGTGCTAAACAACAGCAACTGCAACCTTCCATTAACCAGATGTTTCAAGAACTCAAGTTCAGTATTAGTTTACTTAGTTTATTGTTTATGGAGGTAGCAGCTGAAGTATCTCTTTAAAAATCAGGTTGCTTACGCATTTCCTGTCGCTTCCTTTCCTCTTCCTTACCCCCTGCTTTTTTTTTTTTGTCCACTTCTTTAACTGCTTCCTTTTCCATCGTATTATCAGCTTTATCAGCCACAGATGTAGAAATGAAGTGCTGTAGTCTCAATTTCTCCAAACAGTGGAGGAATGTCATTTCTGAAGCTTATCTGTATTGCTTCAACATACATAAGTGTTTTTTTCTAACCTTTATACAAAATGCAAATGCTACTTTCCTCAAAAAACAACCCCTGAAGTTATGCCCTCAAAATAGCAGACAATCCAAAGAAGGCACTCACCAGAATCCGACTAATCCAACTTGAATAGGAGCACTCATCCATGGAAATCTCTGTTTAAAGTAAAATATAACACTGAGTATGCTATCTTTTATTCCTCTTCCCACCTTGGAAACTTGCACTGGAAGGAACAACCTGCACCTAAAAGTCTGTTTTACATGACGAAAGGAAAACGATTACCAGCATACCTTAAGCTTGAGCTATGGCTTGAAAGCCTTATCCCAACCTCTTTCAACTAGCAAGAAAGCTCTCAGTGATATCAGCTTACACTTGTTCTGAGCATCCCTTAGAAACTACAGTAGGTGACCAACTGTTTTACTTTAGAACTGATCCTGACCTGTACCTCTGTGAGTCATGTAAGCCCACAGTAGCCAGCAAGTTGAGAGTGGCGCTGGTGGAACGCGCTGGCAGACCTGAGGGCACAGGGAGTTTGGCTGTCTCTCTCTCCTCCATACCATCAACTGGTTTTAACTCACAACTGCCACTCTGCCTTGTGGGCAACAACCCATTGCACCTGCAGACCGAAAATAAGGGAATTATCAAGGAACTGATTGCCCTTCCTCCTGTCTTATGATACACTACGATATGACGCGTGGGAATTTAACTGTTAAGCACCCAGCCTCATACAGCCATGTTCTGCAAGTGTTCATCTCTTGTTAAGGAAAAAAAATAGAGGGACTAGGGGACAAAGCTGAGAAAGCACCCCATAATACAGACCTTTCTTTTATAGCATACCCTCTAGTGTTTTAACTCTTGCATGTAAACCAAGAAAGGACACAGTTTTCTTGTAGGTCTTTGAATGGTTCAAGAAATCCCTCCCCTAGTCCAGGTTAGAATTCTAGTTGAAATTGCTAATGGAATAAAACCAAATCTGTTCAAATACAGTTTCTACGTAGGGCTTTTTCTGTTTTGTTACTGTAAAATCATACTGTAAAATTAAATGCTGTCTTTAATAAGCAGAACGTATGCCACAAATGCTATGATAAGAAGCTGATTTTTAAACAAATGAGCTAATGAGTAAGAATGTGTTATGGTGGGTGATGTTCTCAACAATGGAGATGTTCTCCTGCAAGAGGCATTATTCAAGATGTAGAAGTTACAAGGGAAACCAGTGAACAAAAGACAGGCAGTGTCTGACAGGTGAGATAGAAGGATGACATTTAGAAAGCTCAGTGTGATAAAGCTGGTGCTAAGTAAGGTCTAAGCAGTGGTAAGCAAGCCTGTGTACGAAGCTTTCTCCAGAGTCTGAGAGAAAGAGGAAATGATGTAGAACACACTGATCCTCTTTTTTTCCTTCTTCCTGGTGTTAATCTGTAATCCAGAAACAAATGCAGAAAGAACTTCACAATTCAGCAATAAACTGCAACAATAGGTAGTAAAAGAAAAAGCAACAGTAAGAAGGGTAAAGACTGAATTCAGCTGTGCTCCATTGTTCTGACAACGCACTAAATACACCTTTGACTCTCACTTGAAATAAATTACTCAAAATACTTTACATTTTATATAGTGGGAGAATTCCAATGGCAAGAGACTCCAGGCTGACAGGGGAAGATTGAAGTCATCATCCTACCTTTAGTTGGGAACACAAAAACTCAGTAAGAAAACTGGCTCCTTCATACAAGGAGAATTAAAGGAGAGGGATGCTGAGAACTGCACTGCAAGATGCATGAAAGAAATGCCCCAAACACTTCTATAACCAAAGAGACTTTAAGGGCGTCCTGATTTTGGTTTCAAGCTTTCACCTGAGCAGGTCATTATTGTGAAAAAAAGCCTATGAACACAGACAGTACTGACACCCATTTCATTTGCTGGAACACATTTTGCCAAGGTGCCTGATCTGAATTACAGCTTTTCTTTTTCAAGAGTTTTTCCAGATGGCACTAATTAAGAACAATGGTAAGGTAAAAATAAGGTGAAACACTGATACCAGAAGGTCAACGGCTGCCTAGAGAACGATTTAAAATAATAAAGCCAGTCTCAAATGCAGGCTGCACATCCTTATAAAGAGAAAACAGAGAAGTGCAAGACAGCAAAAGAATTTATTCTGTTAGAAGATGTATTTAAACAGGGAAGAAGGCAATTTCAGATGAATTAGGATTTAAATTCCAGATGACTGCAAGGCATCTTTGGCAGTTAGTGCAAGGAGAAAGTGGAGAAACGATAGCAAACAAAATGGAGAAATGGAGCAAGCAAACAAAAGCCAAAAAGAAAAATCAGATTTTTTTCTGCTGCTTCTACTGCGAGATCTCCAACGGTGTCAGCTCTCTCAGGGTAGCTATGACTGTTCTGAAGGAGCATCACTACATGAAACAACAGCTAAAGAAGGAAAGCATGGAATGAGCTATGGTGTAAGACATTCAAGAATGATATTTAAAAGAAAAAAAGGCTGTTCTAGTTTTCTAAGAGCTCTGAATATGTACTTTAGTTACAGACTAAGAGACTTGAAGTTGTTGGAGTCAATATAATATGCAGAATCAGAAAGAAACAGTCCCTGAAGATGTGAGAGTGGCAAAATAAATTAAAGCTTCAGTTTCCCTTGGGATTTTCAGACATTTTTATGAGATAAATGTTTTGTTTCCCATGGGGAAAGGTTATCTGAGACTAAACAAATCTGTAAACCCTGTCCCTTAGAGCAAGGTTGCTTATGGGTCCTTTTGCTGCAGCAAATGTAGCAACGATTTGGTTCCACATGGAGCTCGTCAATATGTGCAGCATACAGCCAGCATACAGCCTCACCACCAAGAGTCACTGCATTGCTTAATTCCTCAAAATGCAGTTAAAGCAACTGCAGAAATCAAAGGCAAAAGGAGTGTGTATATAAAACCAAATTTTTAAAGAGTTTTCTGGTCAAGAATTAGGATTTCTTTAACCAGCAAGTGCGTGTTTGTATTTTAAAAACATTTTTGAATCATTTTCTAGCAATAATTTTTGGGAATACTGTAAGCTATATTAGTGCTATAACTGAAATATGCTCATGCAAAACCACGTCAGAAAATGGAAATGAATAATACTACAGACCCTACATCTTATTTTAAAGATCAAAGGATGACCCACTGCCATCACTGAGACCAGCAGTATTCACCTCTATCTTACTGGAGAGCATTGCTTTATGTTCCTCATCATTTAACAGCCTTTTGACTTCCCTGGCCCTGCATGTTGCTTTAATAGGCTTTGGCAAGCTTACAAGAAGTTTTTTCCGAGAGCACTGATGATGTGCAAAGCAAAGACTATGAAAAATGAGTTAGTAAAGCTTGTGTGGATGGTGTTGGAATACTGCAAATGGGATGGTGCTTCCGAAACCTCGAGAGAACAGGCAGAAGCTGCTTGTTAGAAATGCAGCTCATTCCTTAAAGGCTTTAATACTAATCTCTACCAAGTGTTACCACTGATGACCTGTAGAGCAGTGTTTCGCCTCTGCTCAGTCTTTGAGGCTGTGGGGGAGGAACAGGTGAGCATGAATGGTCATGATGGTACCAAAGACCACTGAACAGTCACTGAAGAAATCACTCATTTTTGCTGATCTGAAAAATTCACAACACTCTTATGTGACACCACACAAACAACAACAGATATTTGTCTTCAAACCCTGAGAATTTTCTCAACATCTTCACAAATGTCACATATTTCCAGTTGACTTGATGGCATTTGTGTTAATAATGTTCAAGTAATGCATTCTCAAGGACACAGCAATATCACAAGCCACTTAAAGTTATTTTGCCAACAGAGGGTCAACACCTATGGAGCCCAATCAGTACAGGGCTCCTTACACTGCAAACAAGTCAGTGTATTTGGATGCACTGCAGTTTCATTTCTTGAACGAGATAAAAGCAACAAAGACTTTAACTCTAAGATTCAAACACCACATTTCCTACTTTTCATTCTGAGCAACAGTGTTTTCTGTTAACAGGAGCAGGGGGGAAAAAAAAGCAGCACAAATCTCTTCAGGAAAACAAAACTTTTTTTTTTTTGCAATTGGGAGACACCTAGGATGTTTTCCTAATGCCCCATTTATCTACTAATACACAAGCACTTTAAATGATGCATGTAACCAGGTTATCCAACCACACACAAGAAGTGTGAAGAAATCATTTTAAGTATTTTAATGCAATATTTTAGGAAGTTTCATCATAGACAAACCAATAGAAATGGGCAATTTCCTCTGCTCTCCCTCCCAGCTGCTGCCCAAAGCGCTTTTCCAAGGCAGGATTTGGAAACTCTGAACTAACAGGAAGGAAGCAGATCCACTTAGGCTGTCACTCCCAGCTTGCCCAGCATGTTTCCCAGGCAGAGAGTTTGTCTGAAGCTACACAAGCAAGTAAATCAGTAACATCAACAGTCAAAGACAGAATTCCCTTTACTGCTGAGAACTGGTCCTGGCTGCATCTCCTCATTTAAAAATTGTTTGTCCAGATCTAAGCAACTATATAATTAATTTCATTATTGTTCTTTACCATCTTATGCACACACAGTACCATGCTGGTTAGTTTATACATTTGCAGCACCAGATTTGACTTCACACCACTTGAGCAGCAATAGAATTCAGTGAAAACATCTTTGATGGCACACGCACATCCCACATCTACCCCATGCTCACACACCCAGATTGTTTTAAAAGATCATTTGAAAAGGGCATTTTTATCATCACTATTATTTCCAAACTCAAACTGCTACCATGGCAGCAAAGCAAAGCTTCCTTCCTAGATATTTGGGGGGCGGGGGGGAAGGGAAGAGAATTATACAAGCTTTTACTATTTTTCAGATAAGCTGTATTCCAAGTCTTGGTAAGAGGAAAGTGCCTTCACTAGAAAGAACTCTGCATTTTGTGCATAACCACCAGAATAACAAAATAAGTAATTTCTTCATGTCCTTTAAGATTAAAAGAACTAAGATACCTCTATTTGTGAAAGACAAAGAAAGCAGCTCCTGTAAAGTGCACTCTACAACAATGTCCTCCAGGAGTGCTCTGGAGGAGAATACCAAGACTTAAAGTATTTTAAATACATGAAAATATTAACTTAGCATGTGAAATACACGTACACAGTTTATCTCAGACTAACCTTTAAAAAGGCTCTCTTTTCCAGTGTGTTCATTATGAAGGGAGGAATTGCTGCAAATGAGAAAAAAGATAATGCATCAACCTCGGAGATAATGGCACATGGATTTGATCTTCTGTATAGATGAACCAACACTGGAATTCAGTTTTCACAGCTGTCTGTCATTAACTGAGGTTTCATTTCACGCTGCCATTAAGAGATACTAGGTTGCTATTGACATAAGTAGACTCCTCCAGTAAGTGGAACGTCTAATTTCACAGGTAAAGGTAATTAACCTGAGCTCAGTGATTGGCTCATACCTTCAGTAAACCAGATCCACTCGAGCAGGATTTGCAACGATTCCTTTGCTAACTGCATGATTTCTGCACTGTTCTGTTGCACATCAGTGTAACATGCTGTGGATGTTTTTCAGTAAGAAATGCAGACTTTAAATTCAACAAACGTAAATACTATTGTGCATAACTGTAAGATAATTGGGCCTCTAAGAAAATCACTTCCATAGAACTTCAGCTCTGTGTCACAGTAGGAACCTATAATCAGGAGCTGTATATGACTGAACTTATTCTTACCCATGCCAGGAGCAGCCATGAGGATCCTTGATATAACCACCTGAGTAATTGCCTGCTGAGCTGCTTTTGTTGATTCACCCAGTCTGTTTCCATTCTCATCTGTGATGGGGATTCCAAACTTGAGTTCCCTGTTGAATAAAAATAATACAACAGAGACTGACATGCATTTATCTGCTTTTGCTGGTCATGTTTCTCCTCTTTAAAACTTTTGATTGGAAGAATTATGCTATTTTATTATTCACATTTGGAGGAAAAATTCCAAAAAACAAAGAAAGATTTTGGGCAAAATATGCTAAAAGAGAACAACTGAATATTTGTCATATCAGTCTGACATCTGAGCCTGGCCTCATGTATTCTGAGACCTGTTTCTGTAATATACAGAAGACAGAGGGTTCAAGAAAAATCAGAATGAATATAATTTCCTGGACTGCTCTTAAAGTAGTCTGTCCTTTCCCACTTACAACATAGGGAATAAAAGCAGATTAGTTTCATTGAACTAAAACACAATTCTCTGGCATTCTAGCCTGGGTTTTCATTTCAACCACCAAGAACATATTTGGAAGTATACCAGAATGCACAAAGCAAACTACATTTCTGTATCTGCACAATTGTCTATCAAAGCTTTAACACAATTCTGCACTTGAGCAAAGCTCACATACAGGGGAAAAACCTTTCAGAAAGCAAGAAGCAGACAGAAGGGCAAATATACTGATGACTGCCTTAGTTCTTCTTCCCATCATTTATAGGAAAAAATAAATAAATACTACCATAGATTCAACTTCACCATGAACATAAATATGAAAATATTCCCTTTTTTGCTCACAACCTTGTGTTTCTAAGAGGATGGTTTTTCCCCCCCTCATTTCTATTCTTACTTCTTGCCAAGTTAGAATACATGTGAAACTTTGTTACTGAGAAAGTGCATGTTTTTGGTAGTCTCAGAAGATCAAACAGAGCTCTGACTATAACATACTCTAACTCCTGCATGTGGGATTTGAAGCACCACCTCTGAAATGATTTTACTTTTCCAAAGCGCAGTTTGTATCGAAAGGGCCCACGTGATCAAGTCTTAAAGGACAGGTACTTGACTGTTGAGATTTAAGGCTGAAGAACTAAATAGGTATTTATCTGAAAAGAATGAGAACATTCTATTTACACATGTCACAGTCAAACAATTAAAACAAGACCATGCCCAAGGCTTTTGCAAGGTTCTGAAACAAGCTAAAGATAATATAATGTCCTTTTTTCAGCACCTTGCTGATCTAAGAACTCAATAACATCCTTTCTTTTAGAATGAGCAATTTTTTTTTTCTTTCCCTACCTTTGTCTCATTAGTGGAATATTAATGCAGTTAGCAGCAGCAACAGCAGCAAAAGGAACAAACCGTCCTATAAGAGGTGAGACATGCTGTGAAAAGCAGAAAAAGAAGAATTACATAATTATTTTTTCCAAAGGTCACATCAAAATGCTTCACTCATTAATGACAGATGAGATTTCCTTTAAATTAAAATTCAGTGAAAAAATCCCTGGTAAGGCAGAGGCAAAAGAGACACAAGCAAGACTTAAGTCATGGAGACAGGCAAAAACCACCTGAATTCAGTAGCATCATTGCAGACAAATGCCAGCTTCTGAGCACGCCTGTCAGCTTGATGGCAACACTAAATAGACTTTAACTTCACTATCTTCAACAGCAAGGTTGCCAGCAGCATTTCTAACAGCTGCTTTGCATCTAAGGACACTCACTGCATGAAGCCATTTATCTAGTCAATGTCTCGTATGATCTGAGTTACTCTGCCTAGAATAGTACCTCTCAAATAAGGTGTCAATGCTGCACCATGCCCAATATATCAAAGCATAAACTGAGGGATATAAAATAGTTTTTTTTTTTTTTTTTTTTTTTAATAAACATGCTGCATATTTGTTTGAAGAATTTGAGTTTTCCATATTTAAGAGAAGCAGCTCTTTACACATTCTTCAGATAGTCCAGCGTAGACTCCCATGTTTCCAGAAGTAATACTGTACATTAAAAACCAGGCAAGCTGCACAACTGTGTATCAGGTCTACGTCACTGTAATTACATCCACTGCAATTAACTTTCAAGTGCTGCTAGATACTTTGAAACCTTAAAAGCAATGGCAAAAAGGCACCTCCATTGGATACATATTGTGAATGAAAACAGCAAGGATAGGGCATTAAAAACAGATGTATATATAAAATCATCTATATGGGGCAAAAGTAAGATTGGGAAATAAAGAAGGGAGCTGCCAAGGGTAATTACAACTCCATGAGGGAGCTGTGCACAGCATGACAGAGCCAGAGGAGGGGAAGTGAGCCATTTCATAGAACACCAAAATCTGAATAAGCATGGGAGAAGTATCAGCAATACCTTTGTTAGTGCATTAAGTCCTAAAGCTGTCGCAACAGCACCTGTGGTAGCAGAAACATAGGCTGTTCCCAGCTGGCTAAAACAAAAATAACAATGTTTGTACATGCATAACAATTATATCCATGCCACTTTCAAAAACAAACAACTTTCACACATGCATTAAGTTCCTTCCACCTACAAAAGTTAAAGCATATCTTGATGCAGCAACACAGAAAGGGCTAAGGATGGAATGGTCACATGAAACCAAAAATTAACCCTTTTTCTTCCACTATCAGTAAAAACAACAAGCAAGTGACATTTTAACTGTGAGCCAGGCTCCAGTGATTCTGCACTCATGTATGGCATTTTCTCTTATGTCTGAAAGAGCACTTTGAAGGATTTCTAAGGTCAAACCTGCAATAGCATTTGAAATCAAAAGTACCAAAACCCATCTGTGTAGACCAGCTATGCTGTAAACACCCAAATCCAACCCAACCAGCCAGTCTATATATCCTCTAATCCACTGCCTTCTGCCAGACATCTACAAGAAAGAGAGCCTCAGAACTGATTAAGACCCTAGATTTTATCTTTAAGGGCAAAAAAAAGGAAGGTCACATTCATCACTCTCAGGCTTCTTGACTATACATACTGTAATACATAAATGGGGTGATAATAGCAGGGTGACAAAGTCTTTGGCTACAGCAAGTGAGAACAAGCCCGAACACAGCAGCCACAGATGCAGAAATGAAGGAAAAGAGCTGCTTACTTTTGGAAGACCTCAGGTAGGCAGGGATCTCCAGCAAGAGATGCCCTCACCTCCACTGCCAACCCTTAAATGAGGTCTGGGAAAGGGTGGATCCTGGCTCCATCCCTTCCGGTCACTCAGCTGCATTGCATGCACCTGAGCTCCCCTGGGTTGGCCCTGCCTTCCCACCAGGTGCTCAATCACTGCTTCAGGCCATGACTGAGCATTTCCACTACACAATACCAAACTGATGATAAATGCAGATGAACAAACTTATCTACCATCTCAAAGACCAATCATACTCCAGTCTACGAGAGAGAACCTGTGAACACATCAGAAGCATCTGTTCAGTGTCTGACCTGACAGTAATTGGGGCATCACCGCTCCTGTTTGTGTAATTTACTATAGCATTGAAGGACTGGTTAATCCACTGCCAGAAAACCACTGCTGGTGTCGTTCTTGAAAAAAGAAACAACTATTAATATTGTTAAAAACAGAGTTGAGTCAACAGCAGAACAATGTTGGCAAATCAAAAAAAGCCTCTGCAAGCAGTAATCATACAGTTCTTGGATACCTGAATAAAGCAGTTCAGTCAAGGAGATACTGTCTTAATAATGGAAGTGCAAGTTACTTCTAAGAATTGGTTTTAAAAGGCATTGGAAATGAATAGCAGTTCACCTGGGACAAAGGTTTATAATAACAGCAAAAGCATTGTAGCAAACCTCTCTACAAAAACATACAGAGGAAAAGAATGAAACTCTACAAGATCTAGAGTACTTTTCCAGAGTTGGTCCTCTGCAGCTCACTCGCTTCCTTCGGAAACTCCATAAGTGACTGAGAAATGGATTTTAGAGGCAGGGTTTACTTTCTCAGTCTTCAAAAAGTTACTGTGCCCCTAATTGTTCTAATAAATCTCTGAGACATTATAAGAAGGAAAAGTGGGATATATGGATCAGGTGAAGCATCCAAGAGCATATATCACAGCTGCTTCCAGAGGAAACCAATAATCAGTGAGGGTATGAGGGAACACAGAGAGAAAAGAGAAAAGGAAGTAAAATTTTATATTTTAGAATATTTATTATACATCTTCTAAAATGCTCTTTTGACAGTAACACTGACTTTCACTTATCTAATTTGTAGGGAAATGTTTCATGTGTTACACTGCCACTACTTACCTATAAAAGGTCATCATACAACCTGTGATAGTCATGTTCATGGGCACCTGAGCTGACATTCGGCCAATCAAGACCATCTTTTCACCAGTGTCTGGATGAAAGGCTGAATCATAGATATACTTTGCTCTCCACAGTTCATTTTCAGTCAATCCAGGTGCTACAATACCTTGTCTTGGAACAAATTGAAACCAACAAAACAAGACAACAGCAAAAAGCACAGCTGTTATAAACATAAAATGCTGCAACTTCCAGTGAAAAAATAAGCATCAGAGGAAGCTAATTTAATCTAGCCTTACAGTCAGCTTGTCTTCAACTATTAAACAAATTGGTGAAACAAGAAGAATTAAAACTGCCAGCAGTGGTTGTGACAACCAGCATCAAAGTTCTGTTGACTCAAGCCAGTACTGCATCTGAGCTGGAATGGACAGCTAAAACCACTAAGCATGAAACTTTGGAAATTTAGCTTGATTTACTAATTGATTTACTGCCCCAAAAATACATTCGAAAGCCTATCTTAAACCGTTGTTCTATTGACTATTTTCAGAACTAGACACTCCCACATTTTCAAATGCTAAATAGTTCTTCTCAGATGACAATTCCCCCATTCATTAGTAATCTGACAGCGTTTCAAGCTCTGAAACTAGACAGAAGAGTGGTGCAATAAATACAGGGTCTTAAATATTTCCTTTTAAACCTATAACGGTGATATTCTTGTCACTGTCATGACTTTTTGGGCCAGCACTAAAAATGGCTGTCATACCTGTAATCATGCACGATTTTTCTTGCGCTTTCCAGCTGGGCATCAGATAACAAAATATTTCGGGGGTCTGTTACAGTGAAGAAGTGACTGGCTCGCCCAATGAAAGTGCTTTGATCCCATCGGGGCTCCTTGATATTAATATTTAATGGTAGATCTGCTGACATCTTCAGAAACTCTGCGAAGAAAACATGAACATTTGCAATTCAGAATTCTTATTTCTTAGCATGTCTCAAACTGATAAAACCCCACAGTGAAAAACAGCTTTAGTTGCAGAAAAAAAAAAAAAAAAGAGAGACATCTTGCAGACCTGAGCTTTAAAGCAGTACAGAAAGCAGATGTCAGGAATCATCATAGTTTTAATGAGATTGGTATTCATACAAGAAAATAAACTAACTTAAAGAATTTAAACATCTACATTTTTGGGCTTGCTTCCCAAAACATTTATACATTTCATGCTTTCCTGTAAGAGTATGATAATCTGAGGATGAGTAGAATGCAAAGTATGGCAGCTCACTAAGAAGTAGATGTACTGATTAACAAGATATTAAAGAGAAATTTGCTTTACTCGAGTGATGAATTAGTGTTAGCTGAACACGTTGTCATAAAGGGAAGTTAAACTTTTCAAGAGATGCCTGAAGCAGCAGCACAGTAGCATTTAACAAAATGCACTTAACACCTCTGGCATTGCAAAGCAAAAAAAAAAAATTAGGATTACAAACATCAGATATTTTCAGTAAATGCTGTTTCTCCAAATCCACGTTCTCAGAAACAAAGGTTACATAATGCAGCAATTTGCCACATTATGAACACATGAGCAGTTCTTCTAATGACACGTCAAGGATGGTAACAGACCCACAGTGACAGGCACCAAACTAACACAGCTCTGCATTTAGAGGGCTTGAAGCCCAGAAAATTAAAAATTTACTTCAAAATGACTCTGACAACTGATCTTTACCTCCAACCAACAAACCTAAGGAACGCCGTAAGGCTCCTGAGGAATTGGTGTAAATTTGGTGAAACTTGTATGGTGGAGAATGTGAAAAGGAATTATCAGAAGAAAGGAACTGAGGATGCAGAGCATCTTCATCATTAAAACAAACAAAGAAACAAAAAAAAACAAGGAAAAAAGGAGAGAATATTTGTGAAACTTGAAGAAGTTGTCCATCCCTCAAATGTAATTATGATCCCTCTTCTTCTGCATTAAGTGTAAAAATCTGTTAGTCACAGGAGAAGAGAATTCTACAGAAATAAAGGCCTAAATGCCTGTTTTGCTGTATGCCACATGCCTATTATGTAAAGCACTGGGTTTTCCAATATCATTGGATCACAGAATGGCTTGGGTTGGAAGGGCCCCCAAGGACCATCAAGTTCCAACCCCCTGCCATAGGCAGGGCCACCAACCTCCTGATCTGGCACTAGACCAGGCAGCCCAGGGCCCCATCCAGCCTCCAGAATAGAGACACAGCATGACAAAAAACAAGCAAACCAGACCATCTTCTGGACTAAAATGGTGACAGCTGCGAAGGGCAGGGAAATCATTCTGAGAATACTTCCCTATCAGCTAAGTATTTGCAGGACAGTCTGTTTCAATATCCTTATAATTAAGTTATCAGTTTCATTAGGAAGGATTAAACCCACTTTGGACAGCTTATGTCAATCTGTTTAAAACTGTCCAACGAATGCTTAAAAAAGCACTCCATAAAAGAAGGTCCTTGCTTTCCTTTCACACTGATCAGCAAGTGCTGAAAACTGCTTTGTGTATATTACTGGGTTGTCTGTGATTTATTTTTATTGCATACCAAACTTCTGCCATGAACCCAAATCTAAACAACAAAGATTAATTCAGTATAATTTCACTCCAAGTCACTCAGCCTGCCCTGATGGAGGTAGATCTCCAGAGAACAGAGAAGGGAACCACAGCCGTGTCCTATCCTTACCCCCAGTTAAACTGACATGAGCACATCTGACCTTGCTACCAACACACCATCCTCCTGTGTGGGCATATCCCAAGGAACAAGATACTTCACATGGCTGCATGGCAAGGGTTAGCATGGCAGCAGCAAAAAGGAAAACATTTTGACAAAGGATCCTTGGCATTTGCCACAGCAAAAGCTTATGCTTGAAATCACTGTGTCTGTTTAAAAAGACGACTACAGGAACAAAAAACACTGACTTTGATAGGACTGGTCTTGATAAAGGAAAGGCAGAGCGCATGGACTCCAGTCTCACTGGCATTCACCCAGAAAAAGATTTGCTCTTGTGCAAAAAGAGATCAAAGCCTTGGGTGCCTACCATTCAGGAACACAACATTTTCTTCTCAATCACGTGATTTACACAACCGACTTGCACTTTAATACTATCAGTAGGCACAATGCTTTTCTAAGTGAGTTTCAAGTCATAAAGACTCTGTGTATGGACAGACCACAGTGCACACACAAAGGAGCAGATGCTGTCCAAGCAAGGAAGCAATAACAAGTTCCAGACACTGGAAAAATACAGTTTGGTGACACACAAAACTTGCATTGAAGTAGAAAGGTTGCTGGGTCTGTTGGTCTCGGGACTCTGAGTCACTGCTCCGCTAGAGTGCTCCTTGTCTAGGACAGCCAGGGGAGTTCTGCATTGGAAACGTACATGACTTCCAGCAAAATGTTTTTAGAATACCATCACTTGTGTCAAATAGTCCTCAATGTAAGTTAAGCATGTCCAAGATTTAAGGTCAAATTACCCAAACATTCATAATAAAATTGTGATAAGTAGTAGTAGAGGGCTCCGAGGTTAAATCAAATTAAAATAAACCCAAGTGAACCATGAGATAAGTGAAGAGTTTGTGGAAGGGGAACGTAAATGCACAGATCTTCCAGAATGAAAGTGAAAAGCTTTACTTTGTTTTACATACACTATTGAGTGCCAGGGGGCTGCTGCAGGCCACCTCTTTTTTGGTTGACTAATAACTTGAATTTATTGTTCCCACACCTATCTCTATTTGGTAAGTGGTGACAGGGGAGAACACCTGCAAAATAGGAAAACTGAATTAGCAGCACCTGAGATTTTAAGGTGGAAAGGTAAACACCACAATCACCCAATCTGGTCTGAATGCCCCTCCTCCTCAAGCAACTCCATTAGCAGAGGATTTGAGAGATGGCATTAATTAAATTGCTGAAATAATTCACACTTAAACAGGACCGTGGGGTCACATTCACAACACAGGAGGATCAGCACTACATGAGTGGATAAATGACACGGATGACAACATAGCACAGTGAAGCACAATATCATGGAAAACGCACAGTAAGAAAGAAATAACATCTCTGCTCTTTCAAACAACTGACTAAATGGGGAATATTGAACAGAATCAGACATACTTGCAAACCTCAATGTTAGCAGCACCTCATACTAGCAAATTAATCCAATAATAAAGCACCGAGAGTCCTCTGGCACATTCATGCTACTGCATTCCCCATTTCCCAATGCCACGAAGAATGGCTGCACCGTCGGATTGTTGCAGCTGCTGTGGGCAGAGCTGTGCTCCTGCAGTTTGGCACTGCAGCTCCCCAGCACCAACACAGCGACCATCCATGTTTCACAGTGCAGCCATTTGTGCATATCAAGGCATCTTTTCAGAATGCTAACTCCAATCACGTGCTTCATCAGCTTCCCACATGGGAATGGCTGTGGCTTGCTGGAACGTGCTGCCAGGAGTTCAGCTGCAGGACCAGCAAGATGATTACAGACTCTTTTGATTACAAACTCATCAAAATATTGAAGCTTTATTTATTCACAGCCAAAAATAAGGTTTTCCTTCATCTGCAGAGAAATTTTCAACTCTGTATTCTGAATAACCTTCTACAAACATCTTTCTTTGAAACTGAATCACTTCTTGACCGTGTCTTTCAACTCCTCTTTCCAATCAGAAAGTGACCTTGAACAGAATGCCCCAGTGCTAAGCACACGTAAACCTGCTGTCCTTTGATCAGATGAAACCGCCTGCAAGTTCCCACTGTAAACTGACATTAATGGGAAGGAAAGAGGGCTTGGAACGAAGTGAGATTGGCCTCTCTTAAAAAATAATTACATAAAACCCACAAAAGCTTGATCAACAATTTTAGTACAAAGGCTGCATTTAAATTTGCTGCAGAATCAGCAGCAATAGCAGGAGACTTTAAACCTTGTTTAAAAGGTCAACAGTAGCAGTTGCAACAATTCTTAAAAATGCCGATTCAGGAGTTGTCAGTTCCACTCTGCAGTGTTCTATTTCCAAACTGCATTTCAGACAGCACACGGACTGCCATAGATCGCTTCTCACACTGCAGCAACAGCCAAAAGAGTAGCAAGGACCATCTGAGACAGTTTGGAGCAACCCAGACATTTGAGTGCTCATTTTGACATGGATGAAAAGAAACGTGGTTGAAAGCAAAAGATGAGGTTTTGTAAAATGTCAACCCTATTTGTTTCTAACAGTGCACTTGAAGGACTCATAAACTAGGGGGTGAATTCAAGCTGGGCGACCCACACTCAGGCAGCAGTGCTCGAATGAGGAAACTGGCTTTGCTACTTTCCTTATGTTACTTATATCCTGTATTTTAACCCAAATCTTGAAAAAATCCATTCTGCAAGTGAAAAACTTCACCAGACACATCACTGATTTTTTCCAATATCCAACCTAAAGCTGAAAGTAGAGCTCTGAAAAAAGAAATTTCTTGATGACACAAGTGAGTAACCTGATGTTTCTGAAAGCTGTAGTCACTGTTCTGAGTCAAGAAGCATCCCTAGCATCAAAATATCCATTCCTTGAGTGATGCAGACAGCTTCTACCACTGCTCAGAAGAGCAGGGAGGTGATTCTGACAATGGCTAAAAGATAAGAACTGCCTGCAATTGCTGAGAAACGTTATATTGTCTGAGAGAATGTTTTGAGAGGTACTAGCCTGAAAACTCACCCAGAAATAGGCTTTCCTGAACAGATACAAAGGCCTGGATTTTCTTGAGTGGGGATCCTTTGGCAAACGTTCTCAGTTTGGATAGGATACTGCTTCACTATACAGAATTTGCTGTTCCTTTTTGGTTTTATGGGGGCCAGAGTCCAGATTATCAGCTCCAGTACCTTCCCTTATTTTAGCGGACTCTGTAAATGAGAGCGGCCTTTCACCTCCCTTGCATGCAGATCCAGAAAGCAAGCAAACACCAAGCTGGGGAGGACAACAGCTGGCCAAGAGAATAGAAGGCTGTGTCTAAGGCAGTGCAGGTGTGATAATGAACATTGCAACATCTCACATCTCAGCTCCTCAGACCAAATCATTTATAACATTACTTAGACATCATTGGACACGTGATACTCACAGAACTCAAAGTAGCCTTCGTAGAAGAAGGGAATAAACTAGCCAACACAAATGCTGAATGAAAGATGGAACTTTCATGGTACCCTTTACCAGGACTTACTTAGATCCCTCACTTCAGGCATTTGGGTCACATCATGATTCACAAAATCTGCTAGGAGCTAAGTGTTCTTTTTTCAGAAAAAGGAGAACAAAATCACTTTTCTTTCCCTCTCTGAAAACCGATTAAAAACAGAAGGCATCAGCAGTACCCATGTATCAGAATCCTATTACAGAATAGCTCTAAAGTTGGAGCCATGCGCTGCTGAAATCATTTGACGTGCAGATTCATGGAGAGAGAGAGAGAGAGAGAGAGAGAAGAGAGAGAGAGAAGAGAGAGAGAGAGACAAGGTGCGACACTTTTAGGCTCCTACATCTCCGTCCTTCAAAGCACTCCCCCAGCAGCTGGCTGTGAAAATGTCCTGTTCTGGGAAACAAGAGATGTAGGTTGGAAAAAAGCCTTAGGCTCAGACAAGTACCAACCACCACAAAATGGGGAGAGGAACAGCTCTCTTCTTCCTCTGCCTCATTTATAAATCAAAGCAACCACGGCCACTTGCTTGTTACTGCAGGGCTCAGTTCTGCTGAAGCACCTCTCACGGTGCTTTGATAGAAACTACAGAAAGATTCTGTTAGGCACTTTTATTCCTCCAATAACACACTGGCCCTTTTTAGGCCTTTTTTGCCCAAACAAACCCAGTATTTTTGTTTTCCATGAGGAACACCATGAGAACAGTGGCTAGTTGGTTTAGGTGAAAAAAAGAAAAACAGGAAACATACTTCCTCCTGATCAGTAAAAGGTGACCCGTTCTACTTTAAAATTACAATACTCTGGTAAAGCAACAGCAAAACAGCAAAAATGCAAACCCAGCTATACTCATATTTCAATTGTTCTGGCAAAGGAAAGAACACAATGAATGCATTTTCCAGGGATGTCAATCAAGCCAGGATAGTTGGAAAGCACTTCTATGTGATGGCAAAACAGCAGCTCTCAGACTTACCAGGATCATTAAGCAGTGGTATTCCTCTATTTGCACTATGCTTGCTATCGCAGTTTGACAGAAGCAGCACTGAGAGAAGTATGATGCAACACGCACCAAATGCTAACAAACACACTTGCAAAGTGTTCCTCCCCCCAAAGCCTTTCCATCCAGTAAATACCTATTTAGATTACAAAAAAAATTAAAAAAAAAATCTTTACACTACGCTTCTTCCTTCTGCAATCACAAGAACAAATTGAGCACTGGAGAAGGCAAATTGTGGCAACGCTGCAAGATACTTTTTTTGCTTATAAATGTACATCCTGTTTGTAGCCTAGCAACAGACGCAGCAGTCTGCGTTAGAAGGGTAGTGCCTGCTGCCGGGGCTCTCCTCAAAACAGCAGCCATCTTTGGCGTGTCACTTGGTGGGAGATTTCATCATTCTGTATTGAAGCCGTTTCCAGATGCCCGAGCTGCAGCAGCGCGTGCCTGCAATCTGCCATCTCTGCTCACACCGCGGGATGGATACCGCAGGGATGTGTCACACACCGACCCCTCCTCGTCATTAAGAGAGAAAAAGCTAAGAAGGGTTAACTCAAGGTCTGATTTTGTGTCATTGCTGATTGCTGCGAGCTTGTATCTACAGCCCTACGGTAAGCTGAGGTAGGATTATCAGGCCGTACCCAGACACGTTCATGACCTTCTGCCATAGTTTTTGTTACTATTGGATATATATATTTCCGATAGGAACCGCACAGCCAATTTTAAACTGCTACAAAGCCAGCCGTCGCTCCCTCCTGCTTCATCGTTATAGCAACAAAATAAACACTCCTACAGAGAACCCCCGGCTCCCAGCCCTGTGACACGGCACCCGGCTCTGCGGGCAGCTCGGGCGTGCTGAGAAGGCGTGGAACCCGAGGATCCTCTTTCAGGAAACAGGGGCGAATTCAGGCTTGGGATCCTCCCCGAGGAGGACGGGGGTGGCAGAGCGGGCAGGGCGACAACCTCCACCCGCGGCCCGGCCCCGCGCCCCGCACTGTCGCTACTCACTGCGCCCCGCGCGCTGCCGGCTCCGCGCCGCCCCGCCGCCCGGAAGAGACTCGCGTTGCGCGGGCCGGCTTGAAGAGCGGCCGCCCCTCTCCGCTCCGCCCCGCTCCGCCCAGCGAGTCCGGGCGGAGAGTCGGGGGTCGGCCGGCTAAGCAGTCATCTTGGGCAGTAAAACAAAGTGTAGGGCTTTATACAGCTTTGCACTGGAAACCAAGTGTAGTAGGAGGGCTGCAGGGATGCTCTTTGCCTTTGTGGGGAGAACGTGCGCGCAGGCTGAAGGGAAGGTTTGGCAGCCTGTAGCTCCTCGTGGCACCTCACGTGGAGCGGAGGGCGGTGTCGAGCTCTGCTCTGTGTGGCGGCGACGGGGCTGGAGGGAACGGCGTGGAGCTGCGTCCGGGGAGGGCAGGTGGGGGTGAGGGGAAGGTCCTGCACCGGAGGGTGGTGGGCACGGAACGGGCTGCTAGGACAGCGGGCACGGCTCTGAGCTGCTGGAGATTAGGGAGTGTTTGGACAGTGCTCTCAGACACAGGGTTTGGATTTTGAGTGGTCCTGTGCATGGACAGGGGTTGCATTCGATGATCCTTGTGGGTCCCTTCCATCTTGGGATGTTGTGTGATTTTGGGTTATTTGTGGCATTAAGGTGTCCAGCTTGCGCAGCTCCTTGATGGGACAGGCCTGCCCTGCTCTGCTGGCAGCTCGTGGCAGAATGTGGCCTCAAGTTCTTCAGGTGGCTCAGGCTGTGAAATTACTTTCATAATTAACGGAATAAAAGCTTTTATTTCTTCTTGAAATATTATTGGCCACCTCTGTAGCAAGGTGGCAGTACTCGGTTGGTGAACAAATTGGATCATCAGTCAGTTTAATAGGAACAACTTCAGAGGCAAAAGAACCATTGGCCCGAAGGCAACCTTGACAACAAAGATGGATGTTTATGGACTTTCTCATTTTCGTTACTCCAGCTTTAATAAGTATTGCAGAAAACAGCCAGCAGCAGGGAAATGCTCATAGGAAACCACAGTAACTGAACCCTTAGAAAAATAATTCACCCTCAGATCCTAATCCTAAAAAATAAAAATAGGAAAAAAAAAAAGAAAAAAGAAAAAAGAAACTGTATTACTATGAAATTTCTTCCAGCTGATGAAAACTTTCTTGCATGTGGTGCCTTAAAAATGTCAAATGAATGTGGATTTAAATAAATAAAAGGCCGAGGAATGGATCACAGAGTGTCTCATTCTTTTTGGTTATTATGGTCACTTCTCATTTTCTCTTTGTACCATCTGATAGCTTCTCTGATGGTTATGAGATGTGCCGTCATTTGAGGTTAAAAAAAAAGGCTAGGGATACTCAATCAGGCTGTTTCCATTCCTTCTACATCCCAGCTTCTAGATGAACACGGTGATAGATGCACAAAATGGATTGCTAGCTCATTTCACAAATCAATTAAAGCTCATTAGAGTCTCAGTTTGATAGTGTTGTGATAATTTGATAAGTCAGCAACATGTGAGCTGGTGTCATCCCCTATCTCACATTGAGTCTTTTGGGAATGGGAAAAGCGTGCTGCGATGGAGCTGTGTTACATCCCATGAATATTCTGCAAACTGTGCTAGGTTACCTTGTTGGTGTGCCAGAATAGTTCACCAACATGCAGAGGCCAAAAAACAGACACTCCACGCTCATAGACTCTTTGAAGTAAAATAAGACAGGCTGGAAGAGGCTGTGGTGGATGCCAGCCAGCTCTGCCTTAGAGGACTGGGAGGGGAGGACCCCACGATGTGGGATGCAGCATATTGATCTGCAGCTGGGTAATACAGCTTTGTTCTTCTGAAGTCCTCGTTCCCTCCCAAAACCCTCACACAGTCATATAGACTAAATCCACATAATTTGGTCAGTAAGCATGTGTCTTCTTACATGTTTTCATATGGACTGGGGTTAATTACAGGGTAAGTATTAATAGTACTTAAGGGAGCATATCTCTGGAGACTGAAATGGATGCATGAAGTCAGTGCTACCTTAGTTCCTGCTGAAGTGTTCCTTTCAGTCATCTTATTTCCAGAAGACTCCTGCAAACCTTCAGGTGTACCTCAGTCCTTTGTCTTTGTTGAACTACATATGAATTTAACCCTCTTTTGTTTCACCTGGAAGAATTTCTAGACTGCTGCAGAGCAAACCTTTCCCTATGCGAGTTAGAGCAGGAACTTTTCTGTTTTTGTGTAGCTGCTGCCTCATCTAAGAAATGAGCTTTACTTTATTCGCTCTCTTCAAGCTTCACTGCATTCATAATATTTACATTGGACCCTAATAATTTTATGTATTTTGCCATTTCAAATTGGCGCTGGGAATCAAATGACAAAAACAGAGCTGCTGTGCACTGCAGTTATTAACACAGATATCCAGTAAGTGGCACTGCAGGACTAGGTTTTCTGCAGCCCTGTATCACAAACAGCAAGCATGGAACGTATCAGAGAAAGGCAGTTGTACAGCGGGTGGAAAACGATGTGTGATGACGGCTCTGAAGGTGCAGAGCAAGGAGCTGGAGTGTGTTCAGCAGCTGGCTCTGGGGATGGTGTTAGGAACCAGCCTTGGCACCAAGCTGACTGTTATCAGAGGTTTGCCAGAAGAACCCAGCCACATTTCTGGGAACTGTTTTTAGCACTCACTTGATGGGAGGTGCGTGTGAAAGTTTTGTGCTGTGTTTTACTATCAGGAGCACAATATGGGACTGGGTGAACCATATATGTAAAGCATTTCTTCTGCTCTGCTGACTTACTGTGCATTAATATTATGCAGGAAATCCAAACCCCAGACTGGAAGGCATGTCAGTACCGTCTCCTAAATTCAAAGTCTGTTTCTGAACTAGAGATTTCTGTGAGTCCATGTCAGTATATCAAAAACCTCCACCCTATTTTCCAACAGTCTCAGCTGACAAAGAATAAACTATTAACCAGGGAAAAATGGCCCAACAGATGAGCAACACAACACTTTTTGATAACATAAATTGCAATAAGCCCTTATATAAACTCTAGTGCAGAATTACCTGCAAAGTCAGTTAAAGATTTTGGCTCCATTTACAGTATCTGAACCTAACTTCAGCTTACTCATGCTATATTGTGCCAAGCTAAATTGATGCATACCAAATTTTCCCCTTTATCTACATGAAAACAAGCACAGCTACGGCAAGCAAGAGGAAGAACGTGAAAAGCCATCCTGCATTTAGAAGGGGCACAGCACTACTTTTAAAGGGATAAACCAGAATTTCAAGAGGACTAGGGGCCATTTCCTCTGTGATGTGGTTATTCCAAAAATGTCTCCCTTGGAATTGTCCACAGCCTGAAGCACTGCTGGCAGCAAGGCTCTCAGCCAGACAGGCTGATGGATGGAGTATGGAGCAAGAGGAGGTGTGGGTCCCTCCTGCTTTAGCACCATCCCATGGGATGTCCCAGCTGCTTCAGCTGTGCTGGACAAAATTATGATCATCCTTTAGGGACCAGGTATGCAGCAGCATCAGCTGACAAGCACAGGAGCATGCCAGAACATGGAGAGGCATGCAGAAATGTGAGTGAAGAACAACGTGACCACACAACATGGGGCAAAATAAAACAGCACCAGACAACTCTGAATAGCATGCCATATTCTATCGCAGATCATTGGATCATTATGGTAGAAAAGACCTCTGGGATCATCCAGGATATCCCCAGCACTCCCCACCATGCCCACTGACCATATCCCTCACTGCCACATCTATTTCTTGAACACCTCCAGGGATGGTGACTCCCCACCTCCCTCAGCAGCCTGTGCCAATACCTGATCACTCTGAGAAGAAGTTTTTCCTAAGATCCAGCCTGATAGCATGCAACAGCATTAACAGCATGGATCAACATCTCACAGCATGATAAATGTACCTAGAAAGCTGGTAGAAATACCGAGAGAGCAGTGAGAAATTCCTAGCAGCAGGAAAAT